TTTGGAGAAAAGTCACACAATCACAAACAAGTCTCTGAGTGAGGCATGATTTCGAGTTCGAAATATTTAAGATTTCCGGCAAAGTAACCACTTTACAGAATAACTGTGGTGTACAAGTAAAACAGCAATTTACATGAATGGAATTAAGTACGCTCACATAAGAAATTAAATCTAGGATAGGTGCCTGGATCAATCTAATTTGTTTACGATTTAGTTATAAATAATAAAAATACAAGCAAGAGAGGGCCACAAAACACATAAGATGGATTTGAACACGGCTTAGGTTCGTGATATATTTTGCGACTGGGGATAGTTGAGAAACTATAATCTCCTTAACGAAAACAAACCTTTATATCAAAAACCCACAAATCCATAGGTCTAAGAGGTATTGTTGCCAGGTGGCACATAAGTGATAAGTAAGCCGACCAGATAAATTGTAAGTAAATAACGATAGTTGGATTAACACTGACAGTTAAGTTAACAGTGTGGTCAAAAGAGCAACATCAATTTTTGGAGCAAAAACGGAAAACACAAGGATATATAAAGAGCTTACAGATCTCTTGACGTTGACAAAGTTTTTGCGGGGTCGGCCATCTACACATTTCAGAAAGCGTCTAACGTCGTGTTTGTTCCAAGTGTTGAGAATAGGTTGATAGTTTGGCAAATCATCAACGGCTCTTCTTATATTATACTTGTGGTAGTGAAGCAGCGTTCTAGCCGATTCTTGAGAATACCTATTTAGAATATAGGAATAAAGGTTGAACGTGAGTTTAAGCTCACGAAAGCACAACACGAAACAACCTAATGAAGCACAACGGATTCACAGATCGTATCACATACACAAATGTGACAACTGTGGAAAGATATATAAGACAAAAATGTTTTTAAAATTAAAAAAAGGTACAAAACAACTGATACAAACAGAACACAAACCTTTTCTTTGTGTCACACTTACTTAAACTTAATTGCTTCAGATAAATACGCATTCATATCTTGAACAGAAGGGCTGTGATCAGGATTCCACACGTTGACTTCGAGATGAGATGGTTCGTTTTTGAACGAGGAAGAGTGAACATAAATGAAATCAGGGACATCAACCTGATAGTTCGAACCAACACGTGAGCAGCCTATTAGATGAAAAGAAATCTAAACTTAAAGGTTGCAGTACTAGGTGAATGTGAAGAAAGTTCAATTTCAACATCGCAGATTCAAAAAAACCAAAAATAATCTGCTGGCATTTCAAATGATTTCTTAACGTTTCAACTTGCCGTCATTATCCTTAGGATGCTTTGGTGGCTTTGACGATCTAAAACCAGCGTTCCGACGAACACCAGACATTATATGAGAGAAGGTGTCACGTTTCCCTAAAATTTGCAAAGTCCACCTCGAATTCGTGAAACGAAGAAATGACCTTCGATTGAGCCGTTAAACAAAAGCAGATTAAAAGGACGCTAAAAAGTAATAATATTAAACTTATTATTTATTACTTTTGATGTTAGAAGAAATTGTTTTATTTAGCGATAAACATGCATAATTCTACAAAAAGGACAACATAATTTTATTTCAAAGACTGATATAAATATAGAGCATAAATTCAGATTATGCTTCAATTAGACATAAGCAAGAAAATTTTTAAATGCTTATTTGATTCTCACATTCCACCTTATTATTCTTTTAGCATCCTAAATTGGTGATTGTAAAGCTAACCTAAGAATTCATTAAATTTTATATATTTCAGACACTAACACTGGCATTTATTGAAATTTATTTTAATTTAGAAAAAATGAATTGGATTTTGCCGTCAACTTTTATCCAACCAGTATCATTACTAGCATTTCGAGACAAAACGCCATTCATGATAATTTAAGGCAAAATTCGTCAGTCTTCACTAGACAATGTGATTTTTCCAACATAACAATCAATGCATCACCATTATAGTGTTTTACAAAATTAAAGACAACTTTTGGGGTTTATAATGCACTACAAAAATATATATTTGCCTGTTATTTTTAGGGTGGCCATTATTGTAGAAACTGCAAAATCCAAAGTGCACGTATGACAAGTTTCTTATATTCCATCATTTATTAATCACCAAATTACATAACGGAGCGAGAGCATTTTGCGGTGCGATCAGAATAAATTTTGCTCTAAAAAGTGAAACAATGTGGAATATATAATTTTTTTCTCATTGTTCGAATGTTTCTTCCCAGCCATGCAGTGGTCTTATCATTTAAGTACCCGGATTTCGCATAACGATGTGTAAAGCAAAAAAATTTGCAAATTTGATAAGCCTCTAACTGCTGCTCACATACTTAAGTTAAGTTTCAGTGAATTTTTCAACCCATTTTTCTTACCAATTGCAAAAAATAACAAAGCTACACTATCAAGAACAACATTTAAATAATTTGATATATATATATATATCTCGCTTTAAGAGGTGTTCTAAAATTTTTGAATAGGTAGTTTTTCAATGAAGTGCTAAAATATGTCACAAGTGTCAGAACTTCATTCCCTTACCAAAATGGCTTAAATAATATTGTCTACGATTTCAACGAATGTTGCTTTGAGGACAAGTGTTTGTCCCTCAGAAATCCCGATGATACTGCTGTTACCAACGGTGAGATCTTTACACCATGAACGACCGCCTTGATTGTGTGGTAAATCCACACTGAAACCATCACCCGAGCACCTATGAAACTCAAAAAACGCCGTAGAACGTGGAAGCTCCAAAATAATCCAAAGTGTGCTAATCAAAATTATCTCACATAGCCATAATTAACATCATCGAAACTGGAGTAACAGAATTCCTTAAAATCTAGTCTGACGGTTCTAACCAGCACGATATTGGGGATGTATCTCGGGTCTGGTTTCACTTTTGGCCACTGAATGGTACACCGAGAAGTATATGCAAGCACGTGAATACAGGAAGAATATAAAGACGCAAAATATACAAACGACGTTCTCCTGGAACCATTAATAAACAAAGGAAAAATCACAGTTCTGGGAAAGTTAATAATATGCACATTTACACAAAAGGAATAAATGTGGATTCTGGATGGTGGCGTTAAATCAAAATGAAAATCCAGTTTCACCATAGAGTAGTTTCAGTTGTTCATCATCAAGATAAAATTCCTGTCGGAACCGGATTTCCTTTCGTTTATCCTCTCTAGCGCGCCTCGCCTGGGTCTGTTTATCCAACTTGGCATTTGGACGTTTTGGACAATTTTTCACGGCAGCCGGGTCATTTCGAACAAAATGCGTTATACGAGGACAATTCTTTTTGTCGGCACCGATTCCCTTCCTGTCCCTCTTGAGAATTGTTGCAATGGGAAAACGACGTCCTTGACCATGACGACCCAGACCACCTGTTTCACCGACTGCGGTAGTCGGGACATTATCATCGGCAATATCAATCCACCCTAAACGGCGAAGAATCTCGTAACCAGGATTAGACGGAGGAATGAACAAAGATGCAGGACGGCGGGGTTTCTGGGATAAAACAGCGAATTGATGGTTCACGGACGAAATATGTGCCCGAGAATTAGATTCACAAGCCAGAGAACATGACGATGAGGGCGAATGTTTCTGAGCCAATGGCTTTACATCATCTTCAAACAAACTAAGATAAAAATCTCGGACCTCAGAGCCTGTGAAAGAAGATTTTGACAGCTCAGGTTGGATTGGAGTATGTTCCGGTAATAAGGAAGACTCGGACCCACGAACAAAGTGTTCATGCAAAAATTCCCGATTCTAAAAGCATAGAGTCACTATTATTCACATTTACAGGACGTTTAAGTAGTGATTCGGCCATTAATTACTACAACAATTGCAATATGGGTGTAATATAATAAGTAAAGAAGTAGGATAAAACATATAGGCCCGAAAATGTAGACGATTATTTGCAAAAAACTGAAGTACTGCAGGACTTTCTCGCACAAAACAACAAAAGTAATATATTCGCTCGAAAATTTCAGGCCAATACAAAACAAGTCAGAGCAACGCAATAGGAAAGATCAAAACCTAGCTAAAATATGAACTATTTAAAAATATTACCACTCTCTTTATGTCATGTGTCACTAGGAAGAAAAAACAGATACCCCACGTCTATACCAATTGGCTTAACTGTACGAAATTTTTAAAAAGAGGTCACGTAGTCAATTTGAAGAGAAAATGACAACGTCAAGATAATAAGGTTGGTACGATATGTAATGAGTTACGAGTAAATATTATACACTACAACAAAATAAGTGTAAATAACCGATATCGCCTTTCATTATATGCATAATTAAGTCAACGTAGCACGTACGTGAGACATAGCGAAATAAAATTAATTCATCCCAAGAGGCAAAAACTGGAGCGCTTCTACGCACACTCCAAACACAGCTAGACGCAAGTTACCCAATCAAAATTTAGGAACCAATTTTGAAAAAAATTGAACAGTTCGAATTTACATTTTATGTGGCTTTAAGTATTCTACACGATGATTTAGTTCATTTAACAAGAACTTGTACCCTAAGAATCTCTAGTACACATGCAGGTTGTTAAGGCCATTATTAGCCCTAATTTAAGGTTAATAAATGTTATTTTCAAAAGTGTTTTTTGGGATGGCAATTAAAGTCGAAATATTAAGGTCTAGAATTACATTACTGAGCATGGAAAATACTACCCAAATCACACTTAAATTTTCTGAATGCTAGAAATTGTTTCAGATTAGGGATCGAAATTCTGACAAGTGTGTATCGGCACCCACTTAATCTCGAACAGGACGTTATTTTAAGCACGTAAATACGTAGTCACTTTCGGATAACTTCACCTTAACTCAATGTCTCATATACATGATTCTCAAAAGTTAGCTGGGCGATTTTCTGCGCGAGATCTTTATTTAAGAGATTATATGACAGAAATTTGCAACGAACTTTTTTTAAAATTCACTTTGCATGTTTACCATATGTTCGTTATGATAATCACGAATTTTTGGGACATTATGTAATAGGGGTCAGTTATTTTGGGTCACTGGAAAGATCAAATAACATAGCTCGTCACACCTTTGTCTAAAGTATCAGCGAATATTTTTAAAACTCTAAACTTACTGACGATTTATAATATTGACCTAAAAGTTCGCCAAATTCACCATCTTGCAGTGCACTTAGGCGTGCATACGTCATAATTTCATTTATGCAGATCCATATTCTTGATTATTTAAACAAACCGCCAATGAACTTCTAAAAATCCGATGCGCTACACTTCCATCAAATATCCAAGCAGTACACCCAAGATTAGCAACAGAAATCCACGTAACACCTCGCCAAAACTACGAAGAGTACTATGTCCGTATGAACACGCCAGCGGATAAGTTTCTGTTGTCTCTCATCTTTTCTCAGGTCAAACTTAAGCACAAATTTGTTAGCCAAACCTCCACAGGTACTAGTAGATAAAAGATCCATTTTTTCATGAAAATTTGAAAAATTTACATAGAACTCAAAAACACGTTTCTGTTTAATATACAAAGGCGCAATTTCTTTGCATCATGCGTCTGTGCTCTAACTTAAATAGTACCATGACCAGAACATTTATTGTCATTGGCCTGGATGATTTGAAATGAAGGTAGAGAATTGGAGGTTCGAAAATTTAGTACTGCGCTTGGAGAAGGAATCATGGAGTAATGATAGTTATTTCCAGCAGCCCGTGGGTTGTTTTTACATCCTCCAGTAGTCACACCGCTGGTGACCACTTTCGGTGATCGCCAAAAACATTTTGAGCGCGTAAAGATTGGGGGGCAGAAAGAACCACCGAGACATCCACCGGGGCTGAATTGCTGGCGCCTCCTTTTTCTATAGACGCAGTAACCAACTGCTGTAGGACAGCCGAAGGCTAGGAAGAGAATGATAACGGCAACTTTCTGACTATCGGAAAAGCCGATCTGTGCGTCGACAGGCTCCTGGGAGAGAAGGGCTTGGAACTCTGGCCTAAATGACAGAGAGCAATAATGCAGAGCAGGTCGTGTTTTTACAACACCTTATTGGACGCTTATGTTCTTCAAACTACCTCTGGAGTGTAAAGAGCCTACGCATAAAATAGCGCATTGGGAAAATAGAGAAAAGCACTGAATACACGATAATTACTTGACTCTATCGTCTACATATTAGAATGGCATAAACAACTAAGAAGGATTGGAAATAGAACAAGAACAAGAATATAATGCTGTTAAAATTCACGGATAAATGAAAAGCAGACGAAGCAGTCTTCGTTGGCATCAAGGGTGCTATTATTGTACACATGAAAATCTAACATAAGAACAAAACTAACTGGAGGTAAGTAGAGTAAATAAAGAAAGGCCAGCTTCCGACTGGAAGTACAGAGAACACACATTAACCAAGTAGATGCAATAAAAAGCACTGTAAATAACTTCAACGAATAGTTAATACGATAAAATAAACAAGGAGACGACGGTGTGTGTGACGTCAGAGTACTTGAGATGGAAAGTGCAATGAAGGCATGAGGGCGGCAAAAAAGGAAGGTCCCCGTGAATCGGCATGGACAAGGGGTCCAGCACATGCGAACCCAAAATTTGTCTTACAAACGCACAGGTATAAGAGCCAGGTAATGTGTTTACACAAAGATGACAGCCAACACACGTTAAACAACACACCCGAGCAATCGTCAGGCACAGGACACGATTTTCAGTATTTATTTGGCTGATATTAATAACCACACTTGACAGGTAGACTTCCGCAAAACCTCAATCATTCAGGTTCGTTTTAACTAGTCAAATACTGGCAAGACACGAGTTACAGGGCTTCATTGGCATTGTATTACAAAGTCCGAAAGCGACGCCGCCAGTGGTCGTGAAACCGGCCGGACAGCAGCAACGCGAGGCGAGATCTTTGTAAAATTAACCGCCAAGTTTAATCAGGTGATTTGAAGCACTTTTAGGGCATAAAAGATCAAGCCACATTATAAAAAAGCCCGGATTTTTGAACAAGTTTTGTTTTTTTTATTAACGTCGATAGTACCTGAAAGTGGCAAGAGCTAGAGGCCGCAGACGTTTATGATGCAATCACATGATTGGGCATGTGATAAAGAGATACTACGTGCTAAATTTATTATTCAAGGTTAATTTTCACATTACCGTAAAGCCACTAGAATGCATGGCATGTGATAGAGATAAATTACCGTAATGAACTTGTTAACATTGAAGGAATACCGACAAAATCGCCGTCACTGACACACTCAAACCGAAAGTGCTGGTAGCTGCCGATTGGATGAAATCATGTTAGCATCCGTTAAAGATTGTACAAAAATGGAAAACTCGAAAAATTACAACAAAGTGCATGCAGAGAGAGCTAAACTTTGATTGGTACAAATGTGGTAGTAAACTCAGTAAAAAGAGGAAGTCAGCCGATGTGGTTGGAGTACCACACAAGAAAAAAAATCGAGTTACGTCATTTCGTATTTCTGATTGCAATTTTAGTTGAAGCCCTAAAATAAGTGCATTTAATTAAACTCAAGATGTTTTGTGGTAACGTGACAGAAACCAATAAACGAAGTGTCCATTGATTTGACGGTGCAATTCGTGAAACAAGCAGAAAACTAGAGATCGGTGAAAAAACCATTAAAGTAAGGAAATGCTACGAGATGAATAATGACACAACGCTCTATGACACCGCGCACTCCATATATTTATAGGACACTCTAGAATGAAGTGGAGACGCGGCATTGAAAGATTACTTGAGGCCTTCGTGTTATCAAGGGATCCCCGTTTTTGAGGCTAAAACTAGCTGACACATTTTAGAAACGGCCCAGACCATTAAGGTCAAAAAAATTGACCCCAGAGGAGCTGAACGTCGCTACACCTCCTAAGAGCACAGCATGCTGCCTCCGTTGTTGCACACCAAGGAAAGGTTACAAACATGCTAATCAGACTAGGCCCATGATGACAAGGTGAATCCACTGAATTGACCTACAAATCAACTAGTCAGAAAACCTACAAAAATGTTGGTAGTAGTAGTTGCTACTGACGACCAACGTTGCGTAGGGGTGAGGGTGGGTGTGCTTATCAGAGTTTATCACCAAAACGTACAGTTGCATGTAATAAACGAGGGCACCCAGACTCCATTGGACTTCGATTCCTGATAAGCTGTCAATCGGATGCACGTTGGAGTAGCTCTGAGAAAACCCGAAGCCGGTGTGGAGAACATTCATGATCCAGGAAGCCTTGAAACAAACGGCTCTGAAGAGGCATGAAAGATAGAAAAATTAAATTGGCGCCTGTCAATATCTTGGGAAAAACAAATTCTATCAGAATAGGCCAAAATGGCGGCATAATAGGCACAACAATAAGCCGTAGTATGTGAAAGAAAAGATCCTTTCGTGGGTTCATGGCACAGAAAATGACTAAATTAAGGCGTATTAAAAATGTCAACATAGTATACTATGACCATTCCAGGTTAGTACTAAAACTACTAGTAGCATATCCCCACATCGAGAAAAAAGGAGCAAATTTACTGAATTCTGGATTCGTTCCGACCAACCAGTAATGGAGGAAACAACTTCAAGTCACAAGTCAGCAATTTCAACACAACAATGTTGACTAACGACTAAACTAGCCGGACACGATTTGCACTAAATAAAATGTTATAAAACTCAGAAAGGCATTATTAATCCATTAAGGGATTGAGAGTGTTTAGGAATGTTATGCTATCCACGGTGTTGATCACATAGCATGTCATTCAAGGAAAATTGATGGCGTCGAGAAAAAAAAATCATTTACGTAGTGAAAGACACTCTATTCAGAAGTTCTTACTGTATCAGGTGCGCTTAACATTATGCCAAAATAACAAAAAGCGCACTTAGAAAACCAACGGTAGAAAATCCCGACTTTTTATAGCAAATCGACTTCTACGTGAGGAAAAAGCAATATTACAAACAGCCCGCACCAACAGGAGTGATGTGTTGACTTTCTGTCTTTGGTATTAGCGAAATTGCACCAAATGCCTGCCAGCAATACATACAAGTTAGGAGTTCCGAACCAATCAAACTAAAAACCAAACAATCATGTGCTGCCATTAGCAAAAAAATGATTCACATCGACTACATCCAAAGTCTGTTTGATTCTAGATGCTTCTTAGTCGTCTGTTCAGCTGTTATTCAACACATCCACATCTACTACTTCAGCAGTAAACATTTTTAAAGACCATAGTGATTGCACAAACAGCAGACTTTTTACGAATACATGCATTTTTCGCAAAATTGAAGAGAGGGTAATAAAGGTGGTCCGGAGGGTGATTCGGAAGCATGTTTACTAGCAGCATGTGACAATGCAGTCAACGGTTTCGGATATGCAGCAACAATTTCGGACTTACTGTTTATTTACAATATTAAAGGGATCAACATTCTGCGTACGATATTCAAAAAGGGCATCAATCCACGGTTTTTTGCACATATTCTACAAAAACAATAAAAAAAGGTTAAAAATGCATCAAAAGCATAGGAGGGTGAAGGCTAAATTACTTGGGAAAAAAACCTTCAACGCCACGCAACATGTACCTGTACACGTACCTACTTGAGGCCGTTCAGCGAAGTAAGTTTACTCTAGCGGGTTTCATTTTTTCAGGCTAACAAAGACTTGAGACCCTGGTCAACGATATTAAAAAAGCAAACATTGCTAGCAACCAACACCGTCTTTCTTCTGGTCAGAATAGAAAGAGACAACAGTGACTGTGAATTGCGTAGGTCGAATGATAGGAAATAATGCGTTGATGGTGGAAATGCCCACTAATTTGTCTGCAATCACAACCGACTTCGTCTAACGACTCAAAACTTGTTAACTAACTTGCAGAATCAAATTTTTTCCGGTATTAAGTAGAAAATATCAGTAGTAAAAATGGATGAGGCTTGACGACGGTAGTTAAATACAACAACCGTAGGAGAACACACTTCAGTGGAATTGTAGAACGAGTCAAAGCTGTACACGTCCGCCGGAGCAGTGCCGAGGTCCGAGGAGGTATACCAGTACTCCGACATGGCGTAGAACTGGGTCCCCTCGAAGTCTACCGGGGGTTGATGGACTCCGTTCATGGAGCAAGGCTCGATTCGGCAGGGTTTATGCTTCTGGAGAAGGAATTTCTGGTAGGCAAGACATTGTGTAAGATTTCCCGCGCCAATGAAGGTGATTATGGGAGAGTTGGTCCCGCCTGTAGATAGGGTCCTTGAAAAAACACGATCCTGTGACGTTAGGACATCTTCCAACCCCGACTGAAGACAAGGGTCCTGTGTCCACAGAAAACGGGTGTTTTTAGGAATTATTGGCGTAGGCGTCTCAGTTGATAAAGACTACTTGCAAAATGCCTATTTGTTAAACCCAGATAAACTACATTGATTAGTTAGGACGACTGCGTTTTACATTTTAGTTAGCACTTTGATTGGAAAATAAGTCACTATTGGAACAACAAATAGAGAATGAACAAGGATCAACGTAAAAGCAAAACAGACACTTGCGTACAGTAAGAATAAACTTCTCCTTTCCACTTGTTGTGTAAAGTAACTGAACACCCAGTTCGGGGAGTTTTGGAGGCTTGGTATAGCCGGTGGATGGTCGAAACCGTGACTTCAGAATGCTTGAGTAAGGCGAATACTCCATTGCATTGTGCAAAAGAAATAGCTTGTATCTTAAAAAAAAAACAAAATATCCACGAAGGCAAATACATCAATCGAGGCAATATGTTATTTAGGCCTAAGTAAGCGTGCTTCGGTTTTAAGGTTCTTTGGGCACACAGACGCGCCTTAGTGTTCGCTGAAAACGTGGGACCGGAGCAAATCCGATTCCAAAACAGGTTTAAAAAGCAACTGATATGCTGAACTGACCTGACAGGTAAGAGTTATGAAAATCAATCTGCTTAGAACCAAAATAACCAACGCCTTTCCAACAAAAATAGCACTGACAGAATTTAGGCCTCTCGTGGAATGGCCACAAGAAACAACTTTGACATCAAGGCACAAACTAGACCAAGAGTAAAATATGCCTGCAAATAAATCTGTAGAAACTCAATTCGGTTGCTTGTGCTACAAAATGTTTAGAGAACGAACCTGCTTTTCGCTGCATGGGTGCCATAGCCGAGGAAGGTCATAACATAGACATTGTAAGTGTTTTTCCCGCCGATGGTGAAACGCATGATGTGGTCCTCAAGCACCTGAGCTTCTGAAGGGACTTCGTACGCAATCTGCATGCTTGCTCCACCCATATCAAGCATACCTACTGACGGCTTAGGGGGATCTTAAATTACAAAAGTTCGCGTTGACAAAAAAAAATTCTAACGACTAGGTCATGTATGGTAAAAATATAACACAAGTTAGATGATTGTCGTCAAGGGATTCTCTAGACTGAATAACGGACGTGTCTATTAGGGGTCATTAAGTTACGTGCACATCGAATGCCATTTAATCCGCATCATTGAGATTCAATTGAAATGGGCGTATTGTGGCGACCAAAGAATGTAGGGATCTGAATTATGGGAGTTTACATGTATAAGTCAGGGAGTATAAAAAGGATATAAATGTTTTTGAGGTATTGAAGTTGAGGTTCAGGTTTAACCCTTTGGAAGAAAGGACACATTAAAAAAGTCACGCCACCCACATTACGAAGACTTCACACGTTGTACTAGGCTTTTCATTAACGTTTGGTAATCAATTCCAATAGGGCGTAGGCAGGGTTAGCAAATGGAAAATTCTAACGTACATTCACATTTAAAAAGTACAAATAGCATAATGCTAAGCAAAATATTAAAAAAATCTTAGTACCGACAAAACTGCAGAAATATGGAAATACTAAATTCTACGACGTACCTACAAAGTTGTCTAGTAAGTAGTTTACTGTTATCCATCCATACAACGCCTCATAATAACCAGAAACTGTTTGCATCCACGATTCCTCAAATTTAAAATCAAAATCATTCTTTATAGCTTCCCGTACTGCATTCCATATGTCAGACTGCTGGCTAAACATTGATAGATGAAAACTGAAATTCAGACTTGCCTTTCTGACAAAAGACGCATTCCAGCAGTCGCGAGAATATAAATGGGGGTCACTGAATGATACTTTTTGGGAATGTGCTTGGCAGCGATTGATACCAAGCTGGAGATGTACACGCCAGAAGAAGACGGATCAGAAGAAAAGGAGGAAAGACCCGGGTTTACTTTCTTCGTCAAAGGCTCACCCTTGTCGTCCGTACAAAGAGTTACAGAAGGTAAGGATCTAGTTGTGCTTTCGATCAGTGGAATACAGTAAACAAAGAGACGACTGCCGCTACTACCAGCGTCAACGATTATGGCATAACGATATGCTGCCTGTGAACTTGCTCTGTGTGAATCAGCAACATAGGCAACTGAAGGTGTGTAGATAAATGTAAGTAATAAATACAGCACAAAAAAGCAACAGAGCATAGCTATTTGACGTCGCCGTCGTGAAAAGTAAAAGCCCAAGAGACGAATGACGACGGCTAAGTGCGAGAAACTAGGTTAAACTGACACAACCTTAAGGTCATTAAACTCATTATATTTCAAGGACGCTTTCATTACAATCAATTTTTCATAAAGTGAATGACTTGTTGGCTCGATAATATTTGTTCAAAAACTAACCCAAAACAATTAATTGAATAAATTTACTGATAATTCAGGACGATCTTCATCATCAACCAGCCGTTGATTCTTAAATGTGTTAACAAATGCAAAATTTTTTTCAAAATATTTGTTGTCAGTTCGCTGATAAAAACTGAAAGAAGGTAAAATAACCGCACAATAGGATATAGCATAGCCTTGTTAGATAAAAGTCCATCAGGTTAAAAATAAGGCTTTAAATTTTTTTCAGTCCCTCAGGCGTAAACATAATTAATCATATTTTAAAGACACAATAATAAATTTTGAATTCAACAGTTTTGGTGTCTCTGCCTTTAAAACGCTTAGCAGCTGTATATCTAATAAATCTACTAACAGTTGACAAATCATACTAAGTTCTATTTCCCATTTAAACATATGTCAATTTTTCAGCGTAATGATGGACATATATATTGAAACCTAATAAAAATACTGTAATCTAGTTGCAATCTTTTCAGTACAAACATTTCCAAGAAGAAGGTGACAAAATGAGAATCAATAAATGATTAAAAACGCAGATTAATGCTGTCAGGTTTGTTTTAGTATATTATAATTTTCATTATCATTGCATTTAGGTAAATTTCAGATCTAACAAAACTTTTGAGAGTAGTCCGCCTTTAATCGGGTAGTCTGAATATCAATAATACTTGCAAATTTCTAAAATGTGTGTTTTTTTCAAATTTCGTTAATTCTTTTAATTTACTTACAAGGTTTCGAAATTGATTTATTTGCTACACATCAACAAAGACTATAATAATATTGTATGTATTCGTATGTAGTTCTATTTGACTACGATCACCAATATTCACAAAATTAACATTTGTTTCATAATAGCCAATTTTTTGTATTAAATCACGTTAATAATTAGTACACTTCGTTTGCTAGATATCGATTTCTTCTTCTGTTACTTTTCCAGAATCTCCGAACGTTGTCACTACACTAAACGTCGTGCTCGTAATTTGCTGTCCTGGTCCAACTTATCGGAATGTAGGGCCTGGTTGACCCGCCAATCATCCATCAGAGTCCAACATGCTGGATGGGCCACTTATTATATTCTGCAACTCATACATGTCTATCTCTGGTGTTCTGCCTATTTCGCATGCCATTGGAACGCTGAGAGACAAAGGATTGGCTGAGGTCAGTGTAGTCTAATGTGTCTGCGTCCTTATCCTTCACCACTGTAGAATACCCGAGCCCTAATAGGTAAAAGACTGGTACAACAGAACAGGCTTTATTGACCAATCACAAGCCAGAGCCACGCGTCATTCGCCTTCCATCCGAGTCCACCACGCTGGCCAAGCCGCTCCTTATATACTGCACCTCAGTCGTGTCCTTCTCTGGTTGGCTGCTCGTATTTCTCGCATGCCTTTGGAACACAGAGAGAGACAGGATTGGCTGCGGCCAGGTGATCTAACATGTCTGCGCCCTATTCCGTCGCCACACCACTGTATAAATCCCGAGCCCTAGTGTGAAGACTGGTACAACACAACAGGCTTTATTGACGAATCACAGGACGGATTTACAAGTCAGGCGCCTAACATCCGAATCCACCACACTGGCCACGCCGCTTATTATATACTGCACATCATTCGTGTCCTTCTCTGGTTGGCTGCCTTACTTCCCCGAATGCCATTGGAATACAGAGAGACACAGGATTGGCTGAGGCCAGGTGGTTCAATATGTCTGCGCCTCGACATGTCCCTACTGTAGGTCTCGGCTCCATGGTATAGTGAAGAAGAGAATGAGACAAAATGATTTTTCTTTAATAAAGGATGAAACTCGCAACACTGCTCTGAATCTTGTCAGTCCGTATAGGGAAAACAGGGGGTTTATATATCCTAGTTCTGTTCTTCCTGTTCTCCCATTGGTCCGTCCCGCGTCGCTACAATGGAGACAGAAAACTCGTGAGCGGATTGGCTCTCAGTCTCCGGCGCGTCGTTCAATGCCCGCCCGCCTGCACGCAGCCGGAAGTCGCACCACCGGTCACATGATGTCCCCTCCGCGCCGTGCTCACCACCGTCGCCAATATGGCTGCCGCCTGTCATTCCGCTACACTACTGGGGCGTCGGACTAGGGCGCAGACATGTTGGACCACCTGGCCTCAGCCAATCCTGTGTCTCTCTGCGATCCAATGGCATGCGAGAAAGATAAACAGTAAACCAGAGAAGGGCACGACTGATGTGCAGTATATAATGGGCGGCGTGGGTAGCGTGGTGGACTCGGATGGAAGGCGCCGGAAGTGCGGCTCTGGCTTGTGATTGGTCAATAAAGCCTGTTCTGTTGTACCAGTCTTTTTCCTATTAGGGCTCGGGTATTCTACACTATACTACACTGTCTCCCCCTCAGGAGGATTGCTGTCCTTAGCTTGTGGCTTGGTTCTCCGCACTGTTGATGTTTGGCAAAATATCCAGTTAGACACTCCCCGACACTCCACATCTGGCTAGATAGTGGCACAAGCGAATAGTAGACGAGGGACATTGCTCTTGTCAACTCTCAGGAAGGCCAATTCATCCATCGCTGGTCCCTTCACCGCTAGATCCAACTGTCCATGTCCTCGTCTCTGAGTTGCCAATGCTTCTTCCGATACAGTAGTCCTAATCCCGCTCAATGTCTATGGATCCAGTGCATGAGACATGGGATGACCCTCCATGACAATTTAAGCTAGCACATAAGGTACTTTGCTTCCATTGTCAATAGAAGAGAAAGGACTGTAGTTCGATTTCTGTTATTCATACGCATCCGCTGCCACCTATGTAGAATACCCGAGCTCTAGTATGAAGGAGACTGGCACAACAGAATAGGCTTTTTGACAAATCATGAGCCGGAGTCACGCTTCAGGCTCCGTCCATCCGAGTTCACTATGCCGGCTACACGGCTCTCTTATATAAAACTACTCATTCGTATCTTTCTCTGCTTGGCTGCCCATTTTCCTCGCATGTCATTGGAACGCAGAGACAGAGGATTTGCTAAGGCCAGGTGGTCCAATATGTCTGCGCCCTGATCCGTCGCTACACCACACCCAATAATGAAGTAATACAACAGAACAGGCCTTATTGACCAATCACAAGCCAGAACCACATGTCAAGTTAACCACATTTAAGCGGAGCCTTGGCATCCTATTTCCAAAAGGCACTATTTTAGTTCCTAGAAATGCCAAATAATCTAAGTAATCGGTGACCTAGGTTAAGGCAACTAACGCCAATAAATGCTGACTAGTGTAGGGATGATTAAGATTATCTGATTTGCTAGTTAAACGTGGATGATGCCGTTTTTAATGTAACGGCGTCATTGAAACTTTTAAATCGAGTAAATTAATTCCCAGAGTTACCCCATAAAAAAGATAACGCCAAGTATGCCATTTTAGTTTCAAACACATTACAGTTCAACCACTACGAGGGACAAATCTCAGCAAAGTTGTAAATGCAATGAACTTACATGTCTTAATGTTTTACACCAGAGTGGACGGCTTGTTTAATGTATGCGCAAACTAGATTATGGGGACGCAGAATTCCTCAACAAGCTTATTGAAGCAATCATAACTAGCACTAAAAACCTAGGAACCCAAAACACACTAGTGACAAAATTCGATCCACATAACATACCTCTGATCTGTATGAGGCCGTTTTACAAAAAAATGAGTACTACTTTAAACTATGTAGTAATGCATAATTTTTAGACCCGTTTTGGCGTCGATTTTACGACACACCGAATCTACCCAACAATGTTAATTGGTCTTCACATTGTGCCAATCGTTACAACTTAAAGTTTACATCCTGGACCCCAAATTAGTTCGAAAGTTAGCATAAATTACTACTTCCTATGTGAGATATTTTTGTTGAAAAGCAATATTTCTAATGGCTAAAATAACACCCTTTTCCAAAATGGTTACTTCTGGGGCAATAGAAGTCTCCGAACGAAAAAAAATACCGGTAGCGTTTTTTGCAGTAATTTCAAATTCCTGAGAAATTTGGAATGAGGGCCGCCACAACCCAAGGCTAATTCAATTTGATACTGAATACTTTTGGCCCTTCTTACAGTCAAACTTCAAATAATTGGAATCTTCCCGAAACTTGGTCAAATACTGCAAACGGGATGTTTTTAAGCCAATTTAGCTCATGGGATAAAATTTTGCCGTTTTGCAAATACACAACGCTTTGGAGTGTTACCCCATTGAACGTCTAAAGGAATCGTTCTTGTGAAACAGACACTAAAACTTATATTACTTTCACCTTAAACATGGATGATTAAACGTGCGAAAAAAATTTGCTTATAGGAAAATCTTCGAGCAATCATTCCCATAGATGATCTTCTGGCAAGTACTATCTTATTTCACTTTGACCATGCAAATAAGCGTCAGATTTGTGAGATACTGACAGGGGCTGGCGTCCAACAAACACTCGACTTGTCGTAAATGACGAAATCCTGGTTTTCTTTGTGGGGAGGGGCAGTGATAAGTCAAATGGAGTAAGCAATGAACTGTTATTCTCCACGCCCACCGACTGCTAATCGGCCTCAGGGTTATTAGGGAAAAGCAGCATGCACATGGACAAACGACCATCGTAAAATCAGTAATTATCCAGAAAAAAACTATCAAGACTACAAGCCGCCTTAAATATATGCGTTACTAGGTACAGACCTCATCAACATTGTGATGAAATTGCTCGAAAAATCACAAACATACAGTACAAACGTGATGTGTGTGAAGCCGTAGTTATGCTTTAAATGTGGTCTTCACAAATTCGGTTGTGAGTAGGGAGGCAGTATTCGCATTAGGGCCTCTCTGTCGGCTGGTGATATGCGGTCCGGAAAGACGACGTCAAACTCAACAATTATGTCACCCCGCCGAGTGGGCTCTTTCGGATAGGGCAATCCCTGACCGCTTATTCGATGCGTGGTACCAGGCTTAGTCACGCAGTTTTCGATTTTCAGTGGCAACTTTCTACCGTCAATTGTAGGCACCTGTATTTGAATGCCGCACAGGGCGTCACGGAGGCCTATCTTGGCCACGTAGCGCACATCAGCTCCCTCGCGTTTGAAGTACTTGTGTGTCCGGTCTTTCACAGTGAAGATGATGTCTGCTGGGATGGTGTTTGGACGCTCATCGCCCTCTCGCGGGAAGGTGATTCGAGTGCCTGCCTTCCACCCCTTGCGCACGTCGATCGTGAGAACCTTTTCTTCACTCTGGCCATTCATTTTACGCCGCGTGATACGCATTTTTTTGGTTGTGCCGTAGAGCACATCCTCTAGTGAAACACTCAGGTCGTGGTGGATAGGAGGGTCCTGGGTGCGACGCGTGCGTGGCATTCCACCACCTCCAGCATTCATGAAAAAGCCCTACAAAACAGACAAACTAATATTTTGGTGTGGGAGAATAACGGGAACATATTCAAAAACAGTGACGCCCCTCACGTTGCAAGTGACAGCAACAGTGGCGATTTATCTAGGACTGACCCGAACCCTTAATTTCTCAGGCAAATATGGAGGCCCTGAGACAAAAAGGACCAGGGTTAGTAGAAGGGACCGCTCAGGCGACGTGTCTTGCTGCACAGAATTATTGCAATACGGCTCAAACACACTTTACGCAACATAGACCCATTTACTAATGAAAGACCCCACAACTATTCTACTTATAAGAAACAAGTAGAATGAAATAAAAGGCATGAAAGACTTGAGATCACACACAACTCGAATGTGAGTAGAACATTAAAACACCCAACAGAAACACAACTGTACTTCAGTCCGCCTATCTTGATGGGGCTGTTCGGTACTAGGAATAATGGACTCAAACGGTTTATGGTCACATAAAAATGTGGAAAAGCAGCACCAAGTAGGAGTTTATAAAGTCTACGAAAACAAGTGTCCCTAAGTCAAGCCATGGAATAGCAATCAAAATGTTCAACAAATGGGCCACCATGTCTTGAGTAACCCCTGTGGCAAACGGATAAATTTACTGCGCTGGATTTGGTGTGAAAATAGGAAAAAACGGTACTTTAAAAATACTATTTTAGTTGTCCGACTTTTTGTATTCATTTGAGGAGCAATAACGCTGCCCTACTCGTTATTTACAACGTTGGTGAAGTGTAGAAGTGAATGGCAGAACTATAAGCGGTTAGAGGAGTTTACATATGAGTCGCTATTAGTTCATCCTCCCCAAGAGTAACGTTAACTTCTAAATACTTCCACATTCTTTGACGAAAATCAGTTGAATAAATCCAACAAAGAATCCGTCTTAGGATATAAATTTAAGCATCTCACTCGGTGACCAATCGCATGCACCGGCATTCGATCACTGACTAGCAAATTGCCTTTGCTGCTTTCACAGGCACTCCTCAAGCAATATCCAAAGCCCCGACTCCTTCACCAAATACACGAAAAATTAAACAAATATTTTAGTTAATAAAAGGTTCACAGTAAAACCTGGAACTGTCACAAAAGTGAACGCATTGACATCGTTTTAAAAAAAGTTTAAGCTAACATTCTTCGATGAGTGACTAACCACGCACATGCAGCCACCACACAAAGCGACTTCCTTCGCCGAGAGAGAGAGAGAGCTGTTGTAAATGCCCACTTATCGGGACGCTTTAGGACACGAAAGAAGGTTTACGTAAGCCCACACTAACCGCTGGTTTACATAGACCGATGCGATTATCTATGTAACACCCTACTCATCCTTTATGCAAAAAAAACAGACGCCGAGTGACACAACATAGACCAGTAAGTGAGTACGGAGTCGAGACGTCTCTCAGAATTAACAAAAGTCGCTCGTGACCGTTTGTTCCAACTAGGGAGTCTACTCTGAATAAGCAATTGGGTTTTAACTATTTCAACGAAAAAAATGCCTAAATATCAACAATTAGGACTTGAAAGTAGCGACAATAAGACTATCGATTTACATATACTTTTCCACTTGACAGCAAAAGTTGAGTGAAGTCGACAACGTAGGGGTAAATAAGAAGGATCGATCACCAGGAGCAGAGTCAAAAAATCTATGTTTAAGTAAGCAAACTTTTTCATAACTAGAGTGTAACTTAGGAAAAAAACCTGCGACAAACAAGGGCACTTTGTGCCAAGTGCCTATCCAAACACATTAATTACAACTAGAATCGAAGAATTCGTTCCAAAGATATAAAAATAGTTATTTAGAGGAAGTTATTATGATAGCTAACGAAAAGACAACCCCGAGCAATGCAAGCCTGGGCAATTGTAACGGTTGGCTTTCAAGGGATAAGAATTTAGTTAGCACAATTTTTCCATGAGCATTTCAAATGTGACTAAAATGAACAGTTGGGGAGTTACACACATAATGAAAACAACAAGACGGCTTATTAAGTGGTTACGTTCTAGTAATCAGTTACCGCTAATGGGTCATAGAAGCAACACGTTCCCGCAATAAGGAGGCATACGGTTTCGATACCCGAATCAAAACATGCTTAAAATAGAGAGCATCATGTAAACTAATACCTAGGAAATCAAAATTGACGAAATCGTATTACGAAAGCTACGCAGTGTACAGAACACGCATTAACCAAGGGATATTAGCAATGATGCATGATTAAAGGAAAGCGAACTAAATTTTACGACATGTGTTAAAATGTGGTTTAAGATTACAAAGTTGCAGTACCAAAAGCGGCAACAACATGAGAACAAGCTACACTCAATACAATCAATGCATCAACATCATTAAAACAGACTTGACATTGGATTGGGGGTACTGAGCGTTCCTGTACATGAAAGTGATCTGAGACTGACATGTCAACTCGACAAGAAAATAAGAGAATTAAAAAGGATAAGCTTACCGAAAACGGACTTCGACCACCGAAGTCCCCGTCAACATCCATGTGTTCACCACCACTAGTACTAAAACTCATAAAAGTGCTAAAAGGATCATCTGTGCCGAAGAATGTTCGGAAGGTCTCGCGAGGATCTCCGGAAAACGTGTAGGTATACGTGCCTGGCTGACCACTGGGTCCACCTGCACCCCCCTTCAATCCTTCCTCACCATATTTATCAAAAATCTCTTTTTTCTTTGGATCACTCAAAACCTAAGCAACATCAATTAGCAATTACGGCATTATACCTCATAGGCCTCGGCAATTTGCTTGAACTTTTCCTCGGCGTTCGGGGACTTGTTTTTATCAGGATGATATTTTAAAGCCATTTTGCGATATGCCTTCTTAATATCATCATCACTAGCCCCTTTCTCAAGACCCAGAACTTTGTAATAATCAACACCCATTGTGGCGAATTTGCACAGCGGAACCAAAGACCCCCAAACACAAACACACGAAATAGAAAGTTCTATCGAAAAATTTCTATTGGTTAACATTTCATTCCAATTTTTGGATATAAAAATTAAAATTTATTTAGTAAAAATTTGATTAAAAGCACTTTAAAAACATGTGTGTACGATTATTAATGGTCACAGCTATTGTTCTGATGTGTAGCCATGGCTGTAAGCATTTCATGTTGATTGTCGATGTCGAGGTGAGGTTAGGTAAATAAATTCCAGTCACTTTAACCAGATTTAAATTAAATGTACCCGTTAGTGGAAAAGATGCTGTTTTAAGCGTAACATAAAATTTTTAGGTAAAACCAAAAGTTACATGCATAAATACGGTTCATTTTATCTATTTTGTGTTACTGAATGTACAAGATACTCAGGTAAATAATGTTCACCCATTTTCTTCTTAAATTTTTTACAACTCCTACCTAAAATTGTCTGTCAATTGCTTAAAAAATTAAATAAAATATCTGAAAATTAAATAAACCTATGTCATTAAATCAAATCTTCTTGTTAAATGAAACAGGCTACAGGTGAATCCCTAATGACAAATCCAGATAACAATGTTGTTACTTTTGACATTTCGATGGTTTGTTTAGGGAATTGCCATGATAATTTGGCCTTCATTAAAATTTAAAAAAATTATGGTTTCTTATTTAATTGTAGGATAGCCAGTGTCGGACTCTCAGAATTATCTTCGAACCAGAGTACATTTGCACAGTGGTAATTTTTTTCGTTGAGATCATTGTACCTTTGTGCATATTGTGGTCTAAGTTAGTTTTTGGGTAAAATATAATTTAGTAACGTATACTTATTCAGTTTATTCTATAAAATTATGTAAGAACAATATAATCAATATTAGAATAATCCTACTAATTTTTGACTTAAATAGTCCTCAGATTCTGAGTTTATTAAGCTCTTTAAAATCGCCCTAAGTAAAATTTTTCAGACACAAACTTTGTTAACATAAGTGAATGAGCCCTAAATATGAGTAGTATAGGTCTAATATACACAAAAAAACTTATGACTATCCACACCGCTAAAGATTTTAGTTGTATTAAGCAGCAGTTTTTGTGGCAATTGAAATAAAAAGATAATCGCCAGGAAACAAACTCAGAGTAAGTCCACAACTTGAAAATTTTGTAAAAAATCATGGCAGTTTAGGTGGGTTTGGCTATTTTCATCTGGTAAATTAGCTGATAGTGTGAGTATGGAGAGCCAATGTTTAATAAAACTAGTTCTCCAAGTCAATAAAGAACCACGGAGGAACTTGAATGCAGAAAGCTCGAATAAAATTGTTTAAGGTAACCATTTCGTACATCTATAAGGACAAAAATTTAGTATGCTAAATTCTTAGTCCAATGATCTGGTGAAATAAAACGATCTCATCGTTTTACAAAGCCCGGCATATACTTCTTCATTTGATAATTTTAGAGTCGAATCTTATTTAAGTAAACACATGCAATGGTGCTCTAGCAGTAGAAGGATACTCGGTGGAATTCACATGATTAAGGGCTGCAGTGTGAATTCTCGTTCAGGAATAGTAATCTGTTACTACGCACTCTGTGTTTGCTTTGTAAAAGACCACACTATGCAAATATTTCTGAGAGGTAGATTATGGCATTTGGAATGGTAGGAAAGAAAAGGAATGTAACATAGCGACTTCGATTTCGGAAACTGCGTTACACTTAACAGAAGGAAACCTTGACATGTAGTCGAAAGGTATGAATACCATGGTTCGCAACTGGAGAACAATCTCAGTCCGTTCATAAGCAAAGGCTGATAAGATAATACCTGGCGGTAGACGGACACCAAAGTAACCTCATTTAGGCGAGATTAAATTTGAACCTTAGAGTAGTATTGAAGTAGGCTTTTGAATAATTTGTACTGCACCATAACTCTGTTTGATTTATGGATATATGGCAAGGTGGAACTGACGCGCCTTATGCAAATCGAATCACATTTGGTACAGGCTTGTGCAAAAATTATTTGCGGTCGCAAAGAAGAGTCAAAGTGTTTTTTGTACGGGAAAAAAGAGCTTAAAGGATTCGTAGACCTTCTAAAGAAATAATTTTTCTAATGAAGAACCGACCAAGGGCAAAAAGTTTATATAAATGAATGCAATGCCTCAGTGTTTATTTTTAATTTCGACACACTAATTTGTCCTTATGGATAAGAGTACAACCTATAAATCTGCCAAAAAATGTAGAGTACATGCTACACACTATCTTAAACTCCTCAGTAAACATCGACAAAATTTGGATGAATTGCTAATGACATGCTTGTACACAATAAATCCCAGCCTAGATAAACTAAGTGTTAACGGCTATCAGATTATTCACCACCACCTCGTTCTTCACCTAGCAAAGTCAAGAAAAGCAAGACTTGGTTTCAACTGTGCTGCCAAATTCAGTGGACACTACCTCAATAATCGGTTTTATTTTCACATAAAATTGTAAAAACTAGGTGACAATTATGGCAGTAATTGAATCTATGTTTCATCACGCATATTTTCCAAATCAAGAGTATCATGTTTAAAGATGCGCTTGATGGACTCAAGGGACCTATCGCAATCTCCAAAGAAGCGTGCCATGATATTATTTCTGTTCAGAGCCATTTATTTTCTAATTTGCACCTTGTTTTTGATATTTTAAAGGACAGCTGACATTGCAAATTATTGTGATAAGAATCCAGCCGAAATTCGGGTCGATGCTTTTACGTGCACGGATTTGTTCTGTGCGCAATCAAAGTCGATTCTGGATGGATGCTCCATCTTTATAAAAAAGATGATTTGTAAATTAAAAAACTCAAAAATAATGCCAAATTTAGATTTTATCTTTGTCATTTATCCAGCTAGACAAATTGATTTATTTATGTAGGGTTACGAATTTAAGTGGGATGTGTAAGCGATGGCAACCTCTTCCATTATTCCATGATTATTCAATTCTAAATTTAATGGCTTTATTAACAGTGTAATTCCAGCATACTGATTGTTCAGAGTGTTAGTCGACACAAACTGAAGTTCAAAGAAAAAATTTGCGGTAAAGTATATTTATCGGGGACATATTAGTCGATTTAGTCATCTCAAATCAAGAGAGTGTTTTGTTATTCTTTGCCGCGAAACAACTGAACGGTAGCAAGTCTTTCTTTTCTTTCGCACACATTTAGTAAATCCTTAAATTCTGCCTTAGATGTATTTGCGTACTTGATGGTACAAATGGAACTATCCCACGTTTTGAGTTAATGTTTACAGTATTTTTTAAACCAAGGTCGCTAGGCTGTCTTTTACGGAATGGATTTGTAGACTACTATACCCCTCTTCCGTGGTAATTCTCTTTTCCTGCAAAATAGCAGCCATGACAGCTCAATGCGTTGCCCTTTCCATGCCTAGAATTTTTTGACTCTTGCACATGAAGATTTTAGCTTGAGAAAATGAATCTGTAGACAAAATTGACCTAATTAATTAACGAGAAGTATCTTCCTGAACAAAATGTCTTCATTAAATTTAATAGAATGTCCCAAATCTTTATTTTTCATAAACTAAAGAGCCAGTTAAGTTGTAGAAAAGCATTTGCGGCTTAGGAAATAATTGCTTTATATTCAAAAACTTTAATGTGTTAGCCAATTTGTAAATCTGAACCCGAAAATTGAACTCGTGAGTTATGTGGCCCAGTGACGATGGTTTACAGAGTACCAATGACATACGGCAGTGCCCCAAATGAGACGCTTTGACGCTTAATAAGATGAGGAAAGTCTTAAGTATTGAAATTAAACTAAGGCACTCTTTAAGGGAATATGGTCCCATAAAAGGACTGCAACACGAAAAACATACTTCCGCAGCACCATGATTGTTAGCTGGTAGCTCAGAATGGTTACCAAGCCATTAAAACATCTTGCACTGATATTTAGGATTAGTGTATTTCATCTTAGGAAAAGTCTGTTTAATTGGTTCTAGCGGTTAAGGCGAAAAACCCGAATATAATGTCAACGAAAAACTTCGCTGCATGTTCACCAGTTCACAGCTATCATGAAGTGGATGGTCGTTTTTGGCATGATTCAATAGCATCAGATTTGTTTGAATAATATGGCTTAAAATTATGGCTAAATTTGTCCAAAGGACTATCTTTAAGTAACTATGGTATTCCTCTACACCTTATGCATCAATTTGAGGCAGAATATTATTAACGTCTAATTATTTCCATAGTTGGCTGTTTTAAACCGATTTGAATAATATGCAAACGCACACGCACGAACTGATACAGAAACTGATCCAGTTACTCCATATCTCAAAAAGTATATTTAAAGATTGTGCAGAATCTCAGCTTGGCCATACCTTGATTGCAACGTGAGTTAGACCACAGCGACTTTACAGTGACGACGGCATCGAGTTCAGGGGATCCAAGAAGGACGTGAAATTTATATAAAGGATAAATTTAGGACGAAATTACCAAAGTGTTGACAACTAGAAATTATGATTCGATTTCCAAGCAACCTTCCAACGCAAGACAGAGTGGTGAAGTGTGAAAGTGCAAGGATCACTTAGTTAATAGTGCTCTTAGCAAAGTATGGAGCGAATAATGTTCGACCAATGTCGGGTTTTCGATTACGACAAAAAACAAATCTCGTTAAATATGAATGACAGCTCATTGGCAAGACAAAGTGGGGATATAGATAGCCAGCATATGTGAAGGCCAAATAAGTTTTTTGCTACTGTAAATGATCCCCTGGTGCTTGAACATGATGTAAATCCAACGTCCTGTTAGAGATAAAGGTCGAGTCGTGCAAAGATTCTGGTAAACGCTATCACGGCAATTACTCGGGAAAGAATATCATTACAGAAAAAAACAAATGTGAGTATATCAGGAAAACTAAGTCAATCATTAATGTCTGAGAATGATAACCAAGAAATCCACGCAGGTATTAATGGCTTGCCATGAGGAATCACAGTGTAACCATTAAAAGAACGCTCAAGTTAAGTTGGTCCTTGCACCTGACTTCATAAACTTAAACATTAATCAACAAAAGATCTGTAAGAAGATTTTCCTTTTGACCATTGCCACCTTTTTCAGAAAAGCTATATTTGGGGAGGTGCTTCATCGCAGATTCAAATCTTATAGCCTTATTTTTTACTTTACTGTTTATTCTGAATCACTAGTTGAATTTTTACTGGAGTCAGATCTAGTTTTAAACATATATAGGGAAAAAATTGACCTGGTGCATCAGTTTACCCTGACTTCTTTAAAAACCAACGTTATAGAAAAATCTGAATGCATCTGACTGTTTTAAATGCATGATTAAATTCTGCAGAATAGCATATGCCGAAAAATTCTGTGCACTTTTTCCAAGCGCTGAATGGTAAAAATAGTCTAAAGAAAGTTTCAAGAAAAATGACCAACTATTGTAGAAAGGATAACTTGGAAAAAGAAGGGATAAACCATTTGTGCAGGTTCATTTTTATCTTGGCTTATAGGGAATAAACGAGATAAACGGCTGAATCAATTACAGTTTTTTAAGCTGTAATCAGAGAGGTAAATTTACGATATTCTTGCTCAACTTCATAGTTTGAAGCGGCGTGAAAATTTAAGGAAATCCTTGCATGATTGGGAAAAATTTTGACCATGTTGAGAAACAGAGAAAATTTATCAAGTTCTCCAGGTAGATATGTCACCTATGTAGAGTGTTTTAAACTGCTTGTACTTGAGGCTTAATGAATAGTACAGGAGTCTTCGTGACTATGAATGCAGTAGTGTTTTAATGAACCAGGGTTAAATTTCCGTCGGCGTACTTGAGACGGTATCCGCCATGTCTACACTGTCTTATTCGCAACTTATGGTGGGTATCGTTGACTGTGTCTTGTTGAATCGTTTGCCAATTACATTCCTGTTGCTATATTGCTAATGCTATTTTTGTCAATGTGACATGTGCTTTGCTTATTGCAGTTGTACTTTGTCTGTTAACCCTTTGAATAACGAAAACTTATTATATGTTTTAGTCAAGCAAGCGGAAGGTGAGTTATTCTGCAATTTACGTGTTTGTAGTTTCTACCAAATTAATCATCGTGCTGCTAGTGGTGATCATTTTTTCCACTCTGTGTTGCTTCTGTACAATTCTGTCATCCCCTTTAATTTTTTTGATCTGCAACCTTGGTATTTTCCCCTTATATATTGCACCAATGTTCTGACAAGTTTTATTTTGTGAACCTGGCCTTCTTATTTGGTGATACTTTCCTGTCATCGTTAGTTCTTTAAAGTATTCTTGTTGCAGCGCGTCCCTGATGCTGAAACTGTAAACTCGAATGGAGAAGGTCATGCAGCAATGGAGATTGAACTGAACGAACACAAAAAGGTACTTGGTTTTGTCAATTTCGTATTCAAATTTCAGTCAAGAATGGATCAGGTTGATGCCCTCCCCTCCAAGGTTGTTCATATACGAAGAGTTCCTGCCGATGCCTCCGAACAAGACTTGGCGATGATAGTTATTCCTTTTGGTTATCTTAAAAACATGGTCCTGTCCAAGCGCAGCAGTCAAGCGCTAATAGAAATGGAATTACTTGAAAATGCTATAGATATGATCGCATATTATCAGCAATACCCTGCTATTCTCCACGGTTGTCAACTTGTTCTACAGTTTTCGAAGCATCCTCATTTGGAGTTAAAGGCAGAAAACCCATCTATCAACCACGCTATCCAGAGAGCAAATTCTATCGTTCAACAAGACCTCTCTGGCGCCATTCAGGGGACACCAAACACTGTTCTTCGCATCGTAATAGAAAACATCATGGAACAGCAAATAAATCACATAATTATCTATAAAGTAATGTTTGAGTTGTATTCGCAATGTTGTAGATTTTCCACAGGTTCGGAAAGATCCTCCGTGTTATTATTTTTTTAAAGAATGATCAGTATCAAGGTTTCATCGAATTTGAGAACCATCTTCAAGCCTTTGTGGCAATGCTGGTAATTAATTCACTTTTAATTACCGAAATTCATGCGTTGATATTATACTATTCGTGATACCTTTCAGCATTTAAACCGCCAAAACATTTACACTGGCTGTTGCCTTCTTCTGGTCGAGTTTTCGAAAAACCGAGGGCCTTTGGAAATCCGGCAGGAAAGTCAGAAATGTCGCGACTACTTGCTTAACCCTCTAACTGAGGAGGAGCAAATGAGTCTTCGCCGACTTCCTTGTGCTGGAATGCCTAACAGTGTGTCGCAAGGAGCACATGGTCAACACGCTCAGGGCCACGCGTTTGGTCCAGGCTCTGCCGTTGCCGCTGCGATGACGCAGTTCGCAGGAGCCGCGGGTGGTCCAGCTATGCTTCATCCACACCAACAAGCACCTGCTGGTCTTCCACCAGCCTGGGTAGCTGCAGCTGCAAACAATAATGCTTGTCGGATGACTGAATTCACAACTCAACTAATGGCACTTGCTCAACAGGCCGGTTTGCAGCTTTCTCCTGCCGCTGCCGCTGCTACCGCCAGCTTTATGTCTCTTTCTGCACAGGTATGTTTATTTGGAAAACCTCTGTCTTGGTGTTTGCATATAATGCCTTAAAACTACGTTTAAGCTTAGCTACATTTGTCCTGGACCCGTCACAAACCAACTTGAGCGTTCTCTAAAATCCCGATTGTCTATATCTTAGGGCGGTGCTGCCTATCCCAGTGCAGCAAACGGGACGGCTATCTCTCCAGCAATGGCTTCCTTACTCGCTTTCTCAGCAGCTGCGAGTAGTGCTGCTGCCAATCAGGGTCAGCCTAATGGTGGTCGTGGTAGCGGTGGAAGTAACCAATTTACGGGTGCTGGATCAGTCTCACAATCTGCCAACGCTCTTCAGAAGCTCACTGCTGCTCAAGCTGCTGCTGCCGCTGCCGCCCAGTCCTCATCTTTGGCCCTTCGTCTACCCCCCAATAACAATGGAAGCACTGTTCTCATTGTGTCCAACCTAAACGAAGAAGTATGTCGACCCACTAGAAGCATCATAATTCATTACCGATGGCCGTTGTTCCTCGCCACTATATTGTTCACCAGCTCTGGTTAGATTGTACAATCTTCTAAAAAAATCAAGAAGTTATTAGTTGGTTGGGACAACCGCAATCAGCTGAAACTTTGTGGTTTTCATCCAATTTTCTCTTTAGCATAGAAATGTAATAATTCACTAAACCTGGTTATTCGTCTTTAATATTCTGGCAAGAAGTCTCTTCTAGAACAACTCCGTTTTTAATTGGCGTAGCTGGTGTCGATCATAATGAGGACTTGTTTACAACACGAGCTTAACTCCTTAATACCTGCTTAGCTGCTAGAATCTTTCCGTTGTTTTTGCGTGACTGCCTTGCTCATTATGCTTTCTTATCATTTACCACTTATCACCTTCGCGAAGTTTTCGTTTCTAGTTTTTTTCATCCTCCACTTGAAAAAGCTGGCACCAAGCTTACCCTTGTTTTTTCATTCTTTTCCCTCTTGTATCACCAACTGCGTCGTCCTCGTCGCGTGCCTGGTCTAATATCGTGGTGGATCATATGTGGATCTTATCTGTGATACAACCATTACTTCTGTTGCCAAATTCTTCCTATCCTTGTCATTTATCCACTACCACACATTGTCCATTATTCGCTTTTAATGCAGCGAGTATATCCGGACGCCTTATTTACCTTGTTTGGTAAGCCCTTGCCATGTTTGCTTTACTTCGTTTGCTAACTTTTCGATGCTGTCTTCTTTAATTTACTCGCCAACTCCCTGCTCTTCTACAAGTAGAGGTCAGGCGCGTGAGAACAGTTCACACTTGGAACTGACACCTCATTTCTCTTCTCCATTTTATCCGCTATCAGTGGTAGGTACCCACAGACTTGCTCCAATTCCGCAAAAACCCCAGTCATCAAATTTGATTGTGGAGTTCATCCACACGTCGATTGGCTTGTTCATCGAACAATCTTTCCTTCACTAGCCTAGTAATGGAAAGCGGATATTTCTGTTGATAATGACTGGTGCTGCCACAAGTCTTACAATGTGTTAAAGAGTGTTCTGCAGCCGAATGATACACGATTAGTTGTGATTTACTGTGTTCATTTAAAACGTTCTTGTCGATGTGTCTATACACCTAGGTGTCTATGGAGATGTTGTGCGTGTGAAGATAATGTTTAACAAGAAGGACACCGCCCTCATTCAGTTCAACGACTCCCAACAGGCTATTTTGGGTAGGTTTACCTTCACTTTGCAAGTTTTCAAATGCGAATTCAAAAAATTCTCTAAAATTAATTGGGAAGCATTTGCATTTAATATTTGTGTTCTCTGAAGCGTTCTGTTTGCGGCTGGTTCGCCGTGCTGTCATAGACGATTAATGTGTTTGAGATAGCATCCATCAGTCCTGCAAGGTTTCTTTTCAACTGTTTATGCAAGTGAAAAGAAATTTTCAAAAAAAAACTATATTATCGTTAAAATCGAGTTTTCACTTTGGTTGTATTTTACAGTTTTTTCTTTTATGATTCCCTCATTTGTGCACCTTTAGCAATGCAATATCTGGATCGAAAGGTATTATGGGGTCAACAAATGAAGATAGCCATCTCGCGCCATAACTATGTTCAATTGCCAAAGGAAGATAAGGATAATCACCTGACCAAAGACTACTCCAACAATCTTCTTCACAGGTTTAGAAAACCCAACTCGAAAAATTATCAAAATATCTATCCGCCAAGTCATGTGCTCCATTTGAGCAACATCCCTCCCAATGTTTCAGAGGAAGATGTTCGATCTCTTTTCCGTTCAAAGGGTTTCAATGTGGTGGGATTCCGTTTCATGCAGTAAGTACTGTTTCTTGGTTCTGCCAATAATGTCATCTGAGGAATTCAAGAGCACACTCATAACAAACGTGATTGAAAATACGTTACACGATCATGTGAAATATTTTTTTACCACAATGCAATTTCCTTTGTACGTTTTTGGATTTTTAGCCTTCTTGTCGTCCTTTGCGCTTGTGTTTTTAACACAGTGCTTTTCTAGTACCTAAAATAAGTACTGTGGATATCCCTCGAAAATTTTGCGTTTTCTGGTGGAAGTGCAATAATATTGATTTATTTCTACAAAATCGTTAGGGAACTCGTGTTAACAAAACTTTATTCGTTTTTCCCAAATTTGCGCCGATAAAACTTCACAGCTGAACTGCCCCAACACCCGTGTTTGTGAGCGAAGCCATGTCTTTGTATCATCTCTTCAAGAGCTGTAAGGCAATCTTGATACTGGGGAGATAATTAACGTTTATTCATGGATTTTGGTAGTTGATGGATGAAGCCATGATCCGGTCATTAAGTTAGTCATCAAGAAACCGAGAAGTGTAAAATGAAGTGGGAAATGACAAATTTGGAGTGTTACAACATTGTAGTCCTTACTAATTGATTTCGAAATAAATGGAATGCTGACTAATGAAAGTGAGCCACTGCGAAGACAACGGATTTGCGTTCTGTTTTTGTTTACAGCGAGAATTTGTCATTCACACTGTTTTTCCTAGATTTCATCAGAAGTATTCTGAACAGGCGTAAGTAAACCAGCGTGATCTTATTGTGAACTCGCACTCAATTTACAACATTTGCTGTTTAATCCTCACTATGCACACGGCACTGACCTTTGGCAAATTTTGTGTGGTTGAAGCCTTTTGGAAGTGCGTAAATGGTCGTCTCGTCATCAGTGCTTTTTGACTTTGTTTTTTAGGAAGGACAACAAAATGGCTCTCGTCCAATTAGAAACTGTTGAAAGCGCCATGGAAGCTCTTATCGTGAGTTATTGGCGTTTATTTTTGACTCTAAGCTCTACACTCATTGACCCTTTGCTTTGCCTGTTGTCCATCACCACTACAATTATGTAGAAGACCTTGTCTAACTTACCACAGCTGGTTTTGGTTGGCCCTTTAATGACCCATCCTAAATGGAGGTAGTCGATCACAAAGCATCTTGCTTCTCATGTGCGGACTTATCCATTTAAGGTCTCAGTGATTGGAGTTGTGGTTTTTATTGTAGGCCCTTCACAACACCCAACTAAGTGAGAATTCACATCTCCGCATAAGTTTCAGCAAATCCGCAATCTAATACTAACTTGACTCCTTTCCTACCATTTCCCACTTTGTGTATTTCCTTGCCTGCTTTCAGAAGCTAGACATGTTGTACCCCCAGCAAGTAAAGTATGCTTTTTCCTAAAGCAATTGCACTTCTAACTTGTTCAAGCTTCCCACATACCCCACTGTTCTTCTCGTGTTTTACCACATACTGAACCCACATTGGTGAATACTAGTATTTTTAAGGGACTACTTTAATGAAAAAATCCAAATACAATTTACGGTAACTTCACAATGGCCTCTTGCGGTTGTGTGGCGTCGATGTAAAATAGATTGGCTTGCGTAAATCAACTGCAAATCTAGTGGTCGTGGGGTCTACACAGATAGGCAAAACTTGGTACCGTGGTCTGACTTTCCCAGTTGAATTTAGGAAAATTTGGGGGGCATGTTGATTTGGTTGATTGTTGACATTCGTCGGTAGTGACACGTTTCCCATAACCATTAATGTGAACATAACATTTTCACTTCACCCTAGTAAAGATGAACTAAAGGGATCCTAGAGAATGGCCATTGGATGATAGACATCCCTTCCCGAAAATGAATATTTATAAGCCCGAGGTGTAGATGTCAAGTATTTGAGTTTTCAAAAATAAATGCAGAACTCGATATGTAAAAAAAGTTGTGTACGTTAGTCAATACTCGCCCTTTTGAAGCCGGAGTGAAGTGCTGCGTAGATCTTCTCGGCCTAAAAAAGTAACTATGATGTGGAAAATGCTTACCTTAACACTGCCTATGCCAATGCAGCTCTCAAGGGACTTCTTGTCTGCTTTTATGACTTCTGATACGGTCTAAAAGTGTGAGGTTTTAATGCAGTTCGCGTATTTAAAAACCATAATTTGCAGAATAATCTCAGGTAATGTGGGAGCAATGAAGCACGTGAGTCAAAAGCGTGTTTGGCCCTGGGATTGGACGACTTAGATGCGTAAACTCCAACTACGGGGACATGGGCACAGAGAAGGGGAGTCCTAAGGTGACAACTGATCGCTACGAAAATGGTGGTAAGATGGGTAATAACTCCGGCAAGAATGAGAAATAATTGGCAAGTCCTATTTATTACTCAAAGGAAAACATTGCATCAGGGTTGCGATTCAAAGGTCACCTTTGATGCGGCATCAGTAAACTACGTGGTTGTCATTCACATGTAAACCAGGCTTAATAGGTCTGGTATAATTTGATTCATCCAATTTGAAAATTATGATACCTAAATTAGTTCGCGCACTATTCCGCTTTGTTTTTGTTTAGAAGCAGATAGTCGGGTTGTAAGATCCATAGTATTCTTATATCATCGTTTAGCACTGGCACTGCAATTAATTTGGAACGTTATAAAAATTGTTCTAAGATCGTAGTTTAGCTACCAGAGGTCTTAGATTGGGGGAACCCACTACGGTTCTAGAATTGCTCGCGTCAGTTGTAGGTCTGGAAAGCTGAGACGGCCACCTGATGCCAGTAAACTACCAACAGAGCTCAGCCCATGTTCGTTTGTAAGAAGAAGCCAATTGTGTACCCCTTACTTCGAAGGAATAAAACAGATGGATGTGGACGGTCACCTCGTGTTTATGCGCTCTTAGCATTCTTTGAAACACAACACTCCAACGGCTAAATTTGGTCACTAGTTAGTCCCTGCACGGGAAGGTACAGATTCTTCAAAGTTAACGCGATATTTTAGAGGACCTCAGACATTCCAATTCATGTATATAGACTTTGCCATAAGAGTAGCTTTTAAACAGTTATGAGGGTAATATAAGCATGGTCGTGGAAAAAGCTATCACGAGGTACAGATATGGTAGACACCTATCTGAATAGTACAACATCTTTGTGATGATGTCGCTCAGGTGACAATGTTAAGCATAGATATTAAAGTGTAGGCTAAGCAAGACAGTCTATTACCTTTAACTTAAAAGCCGAATATGGGCTTTAAGGACTTAAAGCTTGTATGATTTCCAAGTTACGCATTCTAAGAACAGGAACGTGGCATTGTAGTTCACTCCTCAATTGATCAATTAGTCGGCTTGTGTGGTGGATTAAAAGTGCTTTAAACACGGTGATGTCGTCTAATCAGTTTTATGTTGACGTCGAATTTACCTCCGAATAGAGGTGGTTTTAAGAACGTGGTAAGAATCGGCGCAGAATCAGGTAATGTCGCACACGAATTTAACTCGAAGCCAGTATTTCTTCGGTGGACTCAGACGGAGTATGCATCTTTCAAGCAATCAATTAAATAACATGGCAAACAGCAGCCCTGGTTTGCTCGTGCACTGGACCCAGATTGTCTTCGTTACTGAAGCACAATGAGGATCAATTTAAGAACCATGCCTCCACGCGGCGTAAAATGTGCGCAAAATTTATGGTTATGACTTAAAATTTTGCTGCTTGCACAAATTTTTAATTTAGTAAAAGCGGGAGAATAAGCCGCGACAAAATTAAGACTTACGCCGAACTTGGACAAGAGGGCTGCAGCATCTGACCGAGAGACAACTCGGAGAGCTGTGAAAAAGTCCGTTGCCAGGGCCAACTGGTCTTTTTTGGCGGCACTTCCCGCCTCACCCGCTTCTGGCTGGAGGTCTTCAGGTGGTTTATTTATCGACGCCTTGAAACACTCCAGGTACCTTGCCGCCTCTAAAGGGCTGCGGAAGTCATCAAAAAATACGCTGATAGTTTCCACCAGCTCCCGTTCAAAGAGCCTACTTGTGCGTTTCTCTTTGGAGTCGAGCATTAGTAAACACCCCCCACATTGCGCCTAGAAGCTAACTTATTAGCGACCTAAACATGGACATGGCTATTACCTGCTACAGCGAAGTAGTTTTGAGTCCAAATGACTCGATATCCAACACGCTGCGCAGGATGTCCTATCCTGGCTACTTCAACGCGTCGACAGGCAACATTAATACCATGGCGTTCTCATCCATTTCATGAACCGATTCAATACTCAGGCTAAGCCCCATCGATTCGGTGGAAAGTAGTGGCGCAAAGGAGATGTTGGCAAAAAATAAAGGCGTATAATTTTGTAGGAGGCAGATTTTTCACGACAATAACTTAGATAGCAAAGCTCTAAGGACTGTCAAGGTCTCTCCTGAAAAAGTTGAAGGAACAACTGCCTAGTGCAAACTGTTTGTTTACCAAAACCCGATCTTTTCTACTCAAAGGCACCGAGGCTGATAGTTTGAAAACTAAAATGCACCTCGGAAGCCCATTCTTGCTAGCTTTGAAACGTTCAAATCGGCGCATTGCAAACACACCTGATCAATAAAACGATGGAGTAGGGGCGAACAACATGGAAAATGTTCCGCGTATGTCGGACCCAAAATAGATCCAGAGGCAAAGCAGTCTTGAGAACCAATGGAAGTTAACATCAAGGACCTCTAGGTGAACAGTACAGGTTTCTCTTGGTGCTGGGACTTTTCACGTAGAAATTTAACGTCACCACAAACCCACTGAACCTTCGTTCACAGGCTGGGAGTCCATATGGGGACAGTAATCCTAGAAACCTCGCATCTACATAAACCACTGACATTACCTACAATATGGCTATTAATTTTCTCTTTATAGTGATTAAGGATAGCCACGTTAGTCTGAATAAGGCCGGATGATAATTCTGATGATGCAAAGAGAAATTAATTCCTTAAATGCGCATCCCACAGAGTACAACATTTGGGTCGGAAAGTCATGAAAAGAAAGCACGAGTAGCCACTTCCCAAGAGCGAATGATGAAAGCGAAGTTACGCATGCATTGAACAAGGAAACAGGTGCTTAAGGACCCACCTCCAAGCCAGCATCACCGTAACGTTCTGCGTTAGACCAAATTTGTTAAGCTCCTTCAACGGATGATGTGCGTCATCCTATAAAAAAAGGCAGAACCGATATTGTTAATTCCTGAATGGTAACTAAAAAAAACCCAGATTTTAAACTTGGGTGCGAAAATCAATGAAACCCAAACAATCGCCAACTTATCAAGCCATTTTAGATTTACAGTAAACATATATATCAACAATTGCCTTACAAAATGATTGTAATTTCATTAACAAGTCATGAAGCAGTGTTATATCGACTAATTTGTTTTGCATTAACAGTCAACAAATTTAAAAACGACTCATCACTGAACAAAAATGGTAAAAAGCATGAAAGTGTACACCAATTGCAAGAAATTATTTTTATGAGGACTGTAATATTTATACAATTAGTCAAGTCAACACATGCAAATTGAGACATACCACGTCCACTAGTACAATAAGAACGATAAGCTGAAATGTCGACTGCAGTTTGTGAAGACGCTCGAAGATGTATTCTGGATTCAAGTTATGGTAACGCAAACTACGAAAAGACAACAATGATTGTACGGTGTTACTGCTTAAATAAAAGTAACAGCAAGGGAGAACCTTATACCTTAGAAAGAAGGCACAGTGGCACGGGCCGAATATGTAGTCGGGCTCTATGTCACTGTACTCCCACGCAACGTGACGGATCATTTCCAGAAGTACATTTCCTCTCTAAAAGAGTCGAAATCACACAATCGGCCTCAGGAAGCGTTTTTAGTTAAAAAAAGGTGCAACCAACCTGCCGCGGACTGACGAGTAATTTCTTACTATCAGTTGCATACCTAAAACAACACCACAATTGTGTGCGAACACTTAAATTGAACTCGTTTTTTTAAAAAAAAACACCCTTCAGATTTACACAGGTTTCGGCTTGGTTGGCTGCGGCTCGTAGGCCACCTTGAGAGGTAGTGAGGGTGGGGCGGCCTCGGTGGATTTGGCGCACAGCGATTGGCCAGCAGCCAGTCGTCCGAGGGCGCTGCGAGGCCTCAGCCAGGCCGGGGGGATCCGCACACCAACCGCTGCAGAAGACGTCGTGTCGCTCGCCACGCTGAGACCTTTAGGCTCAACTTTCGAGTTTGCCATGATGCTCGAGGTGGTTGGTTGAGTGCTTACTGTTTCGGGGTCCACAATGCCTTGTCGGTAGGCGCAAAAAATCTGCATCCCGGTGGGAACGCCCACATCGTCGGCGTCATCGTTCTACAAACCACAGGGTCACGTTTATGCTAGGACAGTCCACAAGAATATCGGCGTAAAGCGTTTTCTGCAAGAAGTGAGTCGGACACCTTTGATCAGCACAACGCTCATTCAGTTACTCACAAGCCCATTAGGCTACGGCAAAAGATTGGGTATTATTAGAACACGGCGCTTACCAGTCCAGAATAAGCGCAATTCATAATGGTGGAAATCGTGTGGAACACAAATTAGTAAAGTGTACTTAGTTGATTTTGTGATGCAATTGCATAAAAATCCTTTTCATTCAGCACAAAATTTAGGCAATAAGGCAATCTTATGTATAAATTAATATTGGATCAAATAGCCACCCAGAGTGACTGTTTATGGCTAGTGGTTAAAATTGGCTCCACATAAATTCCAAGCTGTCCTTAATTGTGAGATCTTCGTAACGATACTGTGCAAATATGGTGAATCAACGAATAGACGAGAGTAGCTCAGTAATCGTGCAGATACGCGGCATTTTCGGAAATTGACTTGAGGATCTTCCCATTCGAAAAGAAGTTTGGGCTATTTGGACAGGAGCAAGGCCTTGTTTCGTGAATTTTATCCCATGCTACGCAATTTTACACCCCGATAATCATTAAAGCAGCTAAACAGAAAATCCCACCGATTGGAAAAACCTTGGTTCGGGCAGTGTTAACTACATAAAAAAATCCATTGAGCCCATTATGAACGTGGATCTGTTAGGTGCAGTGTATAGGCCCTTTTCTCATAAGAATTACTCTCTAAATCCGGGATACTTGTGGTCCTGTTGCAAGGCCATTCGCAGGTTACAATTTGTTTACTCTGGTCAACAAGGTTTAAGGCCGAATTGCTGCATTAATTTAGACCTAAAAACGCGTGCCGATAGTGCCAAGGCCCACCAATTCGCTCTGTTGATTGCCTTCAATAGGAAGGAACTCAAAATGTTGAGTAATTAAATGGGAGCCAGTGTTAGGAACGAGAAAAAACGGCAAAAACAGGCGAAGTACACATGCTGTGGTACAACTGCACTTTTAGTGGTTTTACAAAGCCATTGTGGGCACAAATGCGTCAAACCATGGTTAGCGGAAAATTGTCTGCAAACGTTAATGACACGCATTTCTGTGAGCGAAAATTCACCCTTCGTTGAAGAGCAATTTTGAACTTCGTCCAAAAGTGAGGTAGACCATCGATGAAGACCAACATCGGTTTATGGTGACAACGACGACAATGCCTGGTTTTGGGCGTTTGGTTAATTTCCGAGTAGACGCAATGTGAAACGATAACTCAATTTTCAGGCATTGAAAGAACGGCCTGGACCGAATCAAGAACACATAGGTGAAGCCAAATCATTTATCATTAAACGACAGATTTATCAATGGGCGCTAACTTGTTGCATCAGTTGCATTTGAAAATAATGTGCGTTAAACCGCGAACACCGTATGGCCTCTTGCAAGGGCAATGTTGACTTAAAATTAACTTCTGCAAAGGAAATACGCTAATATAAAAACTAGCCACTTTTCTAGGACGACGAAAAACATGAACTGAAAACAGCAACTCACAACTGAGTCATCAATCAAATGCAAGCGGCGTTTCAACGCCTCGTTTGGGCCACCATTTCCTGTCGCCTTAAAGCAAAAAAGGAAGCGATAAATATAGTGACGTCTGTTGATTCACGAACCTGGTACTACTAAAAGCGGGCTACTGCAAAACCCAATTGCCTGAGCCCATCCACTACGATTCCAATAATACCTGACATTTAGAAGTTTCACCTCCATAATTCTCGTTAGCACGAAGTAAGCTAGTGCTATGGGAGCATCTAAACAGAGGTTGAGGTGATCACACGCGTGTATACTAAGAATATGACTCAGAACCGGTCAAACTTATGCACCTCCCGCCTAATAATTTATCCTAAGGCCTCAGTCGTTGGAATCCGTCCTCCGTGAATTACACATACAACAATTAACTGCTTATTTGACTTAGACACAGATCTAACAGCTGAAACTACTCATCCACACTGCTCATGAACATTACAAATCAACACTACTGCTTGTCTGGTAGATATGCTAGAGGGTTTTAGGCAGGGGACTACGAAACAACTAAATACCTAACCAACAAGACCGACGATGGAGTTTTGAGTGCCTGTCCGTATTGGCCTGGTGGTACACAAACCAACTTGTCGCTTGCCTCTGGTCTAATTGAGTCGCGGACCCGAGGTCAACTATGTAGGGTAATAAGAAAGCTAATAATACTGTAGTAAATAATTTTGCATAACGTCTTTCATGTAAGCCTACGCCATTCCAGCAAAACTGCTGTGGATGAAATCTACGAAAGGTGGTAGTTTCGCGAATCTGGCTAACGTCAACTCAAGCTCGGTCCTCGATTTCCAATAATAAAACACAAACAACTGCAAAAGTGAGAATTTGTTCAGGCGCTCTCTTTACTTTCAGGGAATTCCATTTTGAAACACGGATGGGATACAAAAGCAAGAAAGCAAACGGAATGGTAACAGGTTAGTTATCACGGAAGGATGACGACGGATGGACGGAATTGGTTAAGCCGGATTGGGACGCCAACTGATTGTAAGGCCTTGGCTCCCAAGAATCGGCCTCTCTATACACCTTCGAGTACTCGTCAAATAGTTGAAGAAGGTAGGGGTTCCCCCCTAGCTTTTCGACAAAACGTCTGCACCTAGAAAAGGCAAAAGAAAGGACAAGTAACCGCACACCAGGATAACAGGCCAACCGTAATTGCAATTTATAAAAGATAATTGTGAGAATGAAAGTAGTTACACACGATGCTCACATTTTGGTTCACCTATAAGCTTGAATTTTGTGGATGCATAAACAAAGGTCGCTAACACCATCCGTGCGAAATGGTGCCCAAATGTGAATCTGCCTGAGTTCTGGTTTCCAGATAAAAGTGTGCAACGCCTACATGGGGATCTATCGTTGGAAAAATACCACACCTGCTTGTCTATCATCTCAAAGATAAGAAAGGATCACTGGGTGATTTTATATCAGCCAAAGAAGCACACTTGTCAACAATCAACAACACATCAGGAACCAACAGTCAGGAGTGTCAAAACAAGGCGATCTATTGAGGAGGCAAACGCTGAAACAAATGTTGTGAATCAACTCACTGCTTTTCCAAGTCGATCAAAGTGCGCGCCGTGTACATGAGAGAGCCAAGTTCATTGAGGTGTTGCACACAGTGCTCCTTCACGGCGTGGTCGAGGGTGCGCTGTTGCAATATGGCCATCACTTGGTGATCATGAGGGAAAGTATTGATTGCATGCACCACTGGGAAACTGAACTTCCCCTCGGTAAGATCATCGGCAAAATTTTTCGCTTCATGGTACTAGGAACAGATCATAAATATCATTGCTAAAATGAACGAGCGTGGAAGGGTCACAAGGAAACGAGCCCACTTTGCACTCTCAGCTATTGTCAGAACCAACGAAGCCACAATTCTAGTGAGTCATTAGACAGCATTAATTGCTATCAGTTCCGGATTCTCAAATAAGCTACTTATCGGCATTTCCATCAAGTAAAAGCTACTCAAACACTGTCAGACGTTGACAGTTAGACAGTAGACAAGTTGATGAACCCACACAAGGCCTCTGAGTCTACCACTACGTCGGACCGAAGAATAGCGGTCTAATTTCGGGTGGGGGGTGCTGAATTACCAGAAACGATGTGAGGCATAACCTCGTGGGTCATTGCAAATGTAATCGATAACATCAGCTCAGAAAAGGCTAAATATGCAGCAACAAACGGAATCGTGACCTACCGAAGTATCAACGAGGTTAGCATAATCATCCCGAATTTGGAACCACAAACCCAAAGCATCCGAAAGAGACTTAAAGTTACTGAAATTAGCAAAAAGAGAAACAAATAATTGGACAGATGTGAAAAAAGAACAAGAGATATATACCCGTTGTTTGTGGAGAACAGTTGCATCAGTTTGACAGCCATGCCGATCAAGCCTCCAGTTTCTTTGCAAAATAAATCCATTGATGGTTAGTGAAACCTACTTCGGATGACCATATCCCTATATTCACATTCAGAGGGGCACTTCAGAGAACACCTCCAGTAAATGTCCAAGCCCTGGCCACGGTGAAGGTCAAGCATTTGTTCTAAAAGAGGCGAGTTACAATGTTCTGAAGATACCGAAAAAGATTATCAAATGATATGATCAAAAAGTGTTCACTAAATTAGATATTGGTAAGTGAAAGCCCATAGGTACCAAAAGGAAGCATATAATAATAGACCTGGCAGTTGAAAAAGGCGAGACAGCGACGAACCTGTGAAGATTTTCGGCACGTCCACATGTCCGAGGGTAAGGGCTTTCTCAAGAGCGATGAAATATGCATAATTAGCAGCGTTTATTGATAACGGAACGCCGAAGAGCATGTGAGCCGCGGGTTTGCCTCGTCTTCGATGAGAGCCATCTTCGATGTCATCGATTCTAACAAAATAAGACTGACTTAAAAGAGAGATGAGGAGAAAGGAATGCCACCAGTCTTAAACATATGTAAACATAAACTAATTCAAAGATAATAAATTTGATACTAATAAATATTTACTTGCTTTGTGGGTTCTACTTACTCTAAATCCCCAACGTTTAAAAATAGACATTGGGTTACATTCAGTGGGCAACATGAAAGATTCTTGTACAATGAGACCGCAATAAATAGAGCACCAAAACGCCTAATTATGGACGTAAGATAGATGACGAAGAGCGCACTATGAAATTGAACACGTAACCACAACTAACCACATTAAGTGCAGCATGCATTAACCAACTACAAAAGTACGGTGTTTCTTAACATTATGCAGACACGAAGAGATCACAAAAGGTTGATTAGACTGATGTTTATTAGACGAATAAATGGACATCCAGAAATCAACATGCCATCATCCAAAGGTAACTTAATGATGTAAATAACGGTATAGGATGAAAGTTGTAATCAAAAGCTAATCATTGATCAAAAAACGACGATAAAAAATCTAGCAAATATCCTATTTGAAAAGGTGAATTTACTTCGGTGATGTCATTGGGTAGTTTCAGAGAAAAAAATAAAGTGTGGAGCCAAGTATGATGGGGTAGAGGAAGAAACATTACTGGTTTGAAGATACATTGTGATAAATAAAGTCGCTGTAAACGGGCGATTCAAACAATTGCCCCTTGAGAATGGGAAATTGGGCGAAACCAGAAAATTGACAGTACCACATTAACCAGTTTTCATATGCATGACACAAACCTGCTGTTAAACGACAACGTGAATAATTAGGACAAGTAGCCCTATAATCAACTGAATGAAAAACATTTAAAAGTAATGGAGATGAAGTGCTAAACGACGTTGCTGCTGACAACAGGAAGGGGGCTGTTTGTGAGAAGTGATAGAACAGGACTTTTTTTAAAAACTTTTTTTTAAATACACGCAACTAAATACAATAAATGATCGTAGTGTTTCGTGCTTGGACGGGGTCACCTTGCTACCACTGGACCCAGGAGTCAGAAAATAGAATATAACGTTTGCGTTCATTAACTGACTTGAGTTAGCAGATTGTTCAACAAAAAAGGAAAGTGTCCAAAGACATCGTAAAAATAAAAAAGATGAAATGCATTTTAACAAACCTCGAATTATAGAACTATCACCAATCAATATTATGCAGGTCCTTGAGGTAGGTCTAACTCAAACGACTTAGACAGGAATGGATGGGTATCAATAACTTCAGAAACGCAAATGAATATGAACAAGGTGGGATTCAACTTAAAAACAGAAGTTTCAAAAAAACATGATTTAGTTGAAAAACAAAGCAAATCTTAAATTAATTACTATTTCCATGACAATGAATTACGGATGGAGGTAACATTCAAATTAGTGCCCCTTACACAAGACTTGCGTTGTGAAGAGTTTCAATAACGTCGCCCAGGATTTCCAACTTCTCCTGTTCTATGTTTAACCACCAATTAAATGCTTTTATTAAATTTCGGCGAAGCCCTTTTCCAGAATTATTAGTAAGGTAGATAAATGGGGCCAAGATGACCTAGATTTATCAGCGATAGAAACATAAACTACATCATCCTTGTTGAAAATATCAGATCGTTCCATATTCGAAGTAAAATACAAGAACAACCTAACAAAGTAATACGTCGAACGAAATATTTGTAGATCAAAAATACTGCAAGACAATGGATAGATTAAAACAATTGGCAATGTTTGTCACGAAATCAAAACCACATCTAAGCAAAACAAAAAAATAATGCAAAGGATAAGCATACAGTCTTAAAGAATGCACAGGTTCCTTTTACATGTATTTATTGTATACTTTCTGTGTCCTTTTATATTGTATATTTTTTCTATGTCCTTTTTTGGAATGGTACGGGAAAAACAAAACAGTCAGAAGAAGATATATTCTAGTCATTCAGATAAATAAAGTGTATGAAGACGGTACGTACCTTAATGCAACAAGTCAGTTGACGTCCAATAGATCAGGTGATGCTCATATATCTATGCGCAAAAACGTTTTTTGATACCTAGGTTAATATATTGCTGAGAGCATATCTTCGAATAAAAGAAACCACTCTCTTATTCCTATTATTAGAAGCATGATATTACTTTGATTGTGATTAAGGGTGGACATTAAAGACCATTTCGTAAAACCACTAGGTAGGTGTAAAATTGCTATAATGAACTTGTTTTGGCTGTTCGAGAAATTTCGATTATACGTCTCTGCCAGTAAAGTTACATATCCAACGATAGGTAATGTGGTGAATAAAAGTATTTGCTAATTTTACCTGGTTAAATTTGATACGACCCTGATGGAAAGAGCTTTATACAAAAGAGTATTTCATTTAAAAGTCCATTATTACAATTAATGACTTCGTTTTGTGAATAAATTCCTCGATTTAAGATTTTGAGAAAAAAACAGCGGTATTTAAAATATAAAAACACGTTCGATTAACCAAATAACTCTACATTTGTTGCTGTGAACATGCTAGTTTGTATTATTTCGAAACATTCAAAAAGTTTAGCAATGAGGAACTCAGCAAATTTTTTTCATTCCATAACTTCTACGTGACCGCAACACGCATGTGTGCCATTTTTAATACAAATTACTATTTTTGTGGCTATTTCATTTGTATGAAAACCTATCCAGTTCAAATTTGTCAGCATATTTTTTGGCTTCAAATATTAGCTGCTTGCAAAATGTCAACCGTATAATTTCGTTGAGGTGCTTGTTCACCATGATTTAATTTTTTAACGAATGTTAGGATTTACTGGCAACACAATCATAGCATTTTTAATGCATTCACATAAAGAAAGCAAAACTGTCAAATAAAACTTTTGCTAATAACTAAGTTTTTAAAAGCGTGAGTTTTGCAAAGCTTTTAAATGCAAGAATAGTTGGGTATATCATAATAGAGCTTGCGTAAAAAACAGTATTTAAATTTGTGTGGTCAATTAAAGCTTTTTAACCTGTAATAGGAAATGGGCTAGACACGTTGTTTTATTACATTGACTTTCTGGGGTAAATTCATTGAATGTCTTATGGTTGGCTGTTTTGGCCTATTCGTGCACTGGTGGTTTCCCGGCTTGTCAAATTCCCACACATTAAGTTCTTTTCAAAGCTTGCATTCCCATACAAAAACATGCCTCAGAAGTCTTTATTGTATGTGCGTTTTTTAGTTAATTCCTTCTTAAGGTCATTTTTTTCTAATAAAGTGTCAGAGAGGTATTTTGTTTTGTTCCTTTTTTATTGTTTCCAAATTTAAGATTATCAGATGATACATCGTCATCGCCTGTTACGAAGACAAAGAGGCGGCGCGTGGTTATGGACAGTGATGATTCACAGGAAAAAGCGCCAGGTTTGTTTCACGTCCCAATTATCTAATTAATTCAAGGAAATTCTGCAGATCACGTCATCGATGATATTGTAATAGGCTGCAACGAGGAGCTATCAAATAGGAATAATACGCCTAATAATGTGAGTAAGACAGAAGTTGAAGGTAATGCATTTTTTAAAGTTTATTTGCAGAATCCGCAGAAATATCAACTCGAATGTTCATGTCAGCGAGATCTCAGGTAATTTTCTGTCGTTCTTGCCACAGCACTTAGCGTTGCTGAGATTTGGTATAACCAGTTGGTTGCCGCGTTTTAACGTCAATTAATATATTTAAATCAAAGCGACATTTTATTGTTTTTTTTAACCACCCAGTAAAATTATCATTTTGATTACTTTATTTGTGATTGTATCATTGCTTTTGGCTGAACTCATTTCTTTTAGATTTGATTTCCATTCTTAGTCTTATTCTATGGAATGACTAAAATGCTGCTGATAGTATTTAAACCATCGCGCTAAATCCACTGGGTATTTATTTGTAGGGATCTCACACAACTCAAATCAGCGATAAATCTTCGTCCATAAAAAAATCGGAGGAATCGCTCTCTTCTGAAACTTCCTCACAAAAAAGTGGTAAATATTATATCGTATAAAACCTTTAGTGAGTGACCTAAAAGTTTCTAATGAATTTCCGCTGCCCAGCTTGTGCAAGAGTGAAAATGGTATGTCATTATTTTGTTTCCTCAATTTACTAAAATCTTTAGAATCTATTGGAACCCATGCATCAATGTGAGATTATTTCATGCCACAACTAATTTCTAATAGCGATAATTTCGATCCCTCAAAGGACCCGTTTGACCCTTTGCAAGATGCATGCTGGGGACTCAGCGAACCGCAAGTTCATATCTTGTTGTACACTTATTCTATCTAGGGTCCCCTACATTGCTTTCGCAAAAACTCTTGATTGCATCGAGAAAACTTCAAGCCGCCTGAAAATGATTGGTGTCCTGTCTAATTTATTCCGTTGCGTAGGTATCAACTCACCCAAAGATTTAGCAATGTGCATCAACATGTCCATCAACAGACTCGGTCCTTCCTATGAGGGTTTAGAGTTGGGTATTGGGGAAAGCTTACTTATAAAAGCGCTTTCTCTCACAACGGGTACAATTCTCCATCCTTAAACTTACGCCTAAATAGGAGCAAGCATTGATCGAATCAAGTCGGAGCTTAATCGTCTGGGAGATCTTGGAGCCGTCGCTGAAGTAATTTATTTTTCAATCAGATCTTATTTTAAGGCTGTTCGCTCACGACAGCAAACTATGTTCAAACCAAAATCCTTGACTTTGCGACAGGTTTTTGGACGTCTAAAGGAAATCGCTCTATTGACAGGAAACGCGGTACGCTTGTCTATTTCCACCGCCTTTAAATAGGATCAGTATTATTTTAGTGTTTGTAATAATTGTTTTAGGCTCAGACGAAGAAGGTTAAACTTATTCAAACTCTTCTCGTTGCCTGTCGCGAATGTGAGGCTAAATATCTCATTCGATGCCTACAGGGCAAACTTCGGATTGGTTTGGCTGAGCAATCTGTGCTTGCGGCGTTAGGACAGGCTGTAGCAATGACATCCTTCCATTCCATTCAAGCCGTTTTAGCCGATGGTCAACCCCTTTCTGTTGATTTGCTGGACACGAGCCGAAAGCCTATAGGTGGTCCTGATGCCTGGAAACGACATTGTGACGAGGTAATCGGACGTGTGAAGCAGGCTTACGCCCAATGCCCCAACTACGAGAAGATTGTGGAAAGTCTCTTGGAGGACGGTCCAGATAATGTGCACAAGAGGTGTTGCATTTCTCCGGGTATTCCACTTCGACCGATGCTCGCACATCCCACACATGGTGTTACTGAAGTCCTCAAGCGATTCGATCAGGCGGATTTCACGTGTGAATTTAAGTATGACGGCGAGCGTGCTCAGGTAGTCCTTTGTCCTACTTTGCAGGAGACTTTTTTATTATTTCGGCGTCGTTATGTGGTTTGCGTTTCATTCATGTAGCTAGCATTAAATTTACTAACGTTCTAGTCGCTCAATACAGGAATTTTGACCAAGGAGAACAATTTGCGGTCTGGTACTCCGTTCATAACCACCGTTTTCATATTGATGGTTTCCTGTCTCGTTGCGTGGAAATAGGTTTCACACTTATTTAAATCAATCAGACCATTCAACTGTCATTTAACTTTGCTCTTAGATAATTGAAAATTTATGGTATAATTTCAGTGTATCTCAACCTCGAGTTATGTGTTTCAGTACCTTCAGCCAGGTTATCGTGTAGTCATCGAGAACGTCGTCGGGGTAGTGGTGCGCTCATTCAATTTCTTTTGCAGTGTGTGAAGTAATCTTGCCAACGAGACTGTGTGTTTTCATTTGAAAGTTGAACCATTTGGATGCTGTTGCGTCTGGCGAATAGCCAGTTTCTCGGGATATTGGAATCTTGAATGTCCTGCTTTTAGATCCACCTCTTGGCCGACAGCACCGTCCGAGTCTACTCTCGTAACCAGGAGAACAACACCTCGAAATACCCCGACATCGTTAATAGTCTAGTCGCAAACGTCCTTAAAGGCGCTAAATTGACCGCAGAGGCCTGCAAGCTGTTAGACTCTATCGGCGAATCCACCCCGCTAATTGAAGGCACACCTGTGACCACTTTTATTTTGGACAGCGAAGCTGTCGCTTGGGATCGGGTTGCAGAGCAAATTCTCCCCTTCCAAGTTCTCAGTACCCGAAAACGCAAGGTCAGTTCTTTACGAGTACCGCCTCGCTAAGTAAGCTTGTTTGTCGAGGGGCCGTCATTTTTGTTTGGACTGCTAGCGTTTTTGTTTCCAGTGTGTTTATCATCGAGAGCGATTTTTTCTGATTCCCTTATTTACTCTTAATACTTACTTATTCTGTTCGTAGTTTGCGCAACGGTATTCTGCTCTCGGCTGAGTGCCTTTATCAATCCGGCTTTTTTCTTTGTGTAGGATGTGCAAGAGGGGGATGTGAAGGTTTGCGTTTGCGTTTACGCATTCGACCTTCTTTATTTGAACGGGATACCCCTCACAGAGCAGCCACTGCGACAACGGAGGGAGCTTCTTAGGTTCGTTTATTCAGGCGTTTGCATTGCCCAAGGCATTCCTAATGCCCTGCTGTTCTCACACCTACCGGGATGAAAAATCGACTTTTGTAGACACAAAATAGTAAAATTTGCTCAACATTGTCTAATTCAGACATCAAAATTCGTAAAATTTACTTTTCCTGAGAGCGGTGACCATCGTTTCACTGCGTTTTAATACATAACTTATAAGTTGGTGGCCTCGGCCCGTATCCTACCTATCGCTCCTTCTCCGACACCTTTCTGCGTAGATGTAAGTTTCTTCCAAGGTCGTAGACTTCAAGTGTTGTGGACCTTTACGAGTCAGCCCGAAACTTGGTTTTAAAGGAGGGAGGGAGTAGCTTTTACAATAAGGGTTTTCCAGTTATTTGAGTGTTGTGAGTCTGTCTCCATAACGTGCGGATTACTTAGTTTTATCATTTAACTCTCCCTCCCTCCCACTTTAACTGTTGCGGGAATAGGATAATATCCAGATAAATTAACAGCTATCATTTCGGAGCCTAGGCCCACATCTCTTACTGTCGTTTGCCATGACCCAAAGTAACCATTAGTGACTAGTCGGTCTACGTGGAAGTAGTGAAACTGCTCAACAAATGCATTTTTAACGTGAATGTCATAGTACCGTACTGGCAGGTTATTTTGTCTCAAATTAGATCCGCCAACGTTAAAGCGTATCCACATTTTCCACAGCTCGTGAACAATACTGAGCGCTATTTTGTTGTCACACTGCCATTCGCTTGCCTGTATTGGCTCTTGGTCCCCCAATGTTCATAATTCTGATTGTACACAAGTTTCGGGCTTTTATTAGTTGTTCCTGTTTTCAGACTTGTATTTCCTACAATTCCCGGTCAATTTATGTTCGCCAACTCGTTAGACAGCTCCGACACGGAGGAAATCATTAAGTTCATGGATGAGTCAATCAAAGGTAAACTTCGTGTTTAAATTTGCCGCCTTAATTTCCCGCCTCCCCACGAGAACCTCAAATCCTCAACTACCACAATCTATTGTCTGAAGTCGATTCGCATGAGCTCTATTTATCTGATGGTAACCATCGAAATTAGAATTTATGTATGCTGTTTAGCTGTGGTAATCGGTCGCAACTCAGGGACTTGTAACGTTTTGCCCATATTTTGAGCCACATGCTTATGTTGGCTGAAAACTGTAGCTGGTCGTCCTGTGTTGGATCTTGTTTCTTTTTGCGTCGAGCTTCTATAAATGCCCAAATGTTTTAATGCATTTTTGGCCTTTTTTTCGTGGCCATAAAGATGCTAAACATGTTGGCCTTTTCATGAACCAGTAAGCTCCACCTGCCTTATTCAAAATCCGTTGCAGGTAACTGTGAGGGCCTAATGGTGAAAACGCTGGACCACGACGCCACTTACGAGATCGCCAAAAGATCAAGAAATTGGCTCAAGGTGAGTTGACCCCACTGCCCTAGAGACTGTGGTCAATGCTGCACAATTCTGCCCCGTTTGTCCTGATGCTTTCTACTGACAGTTTTCTAGTAGTTCGGCAACGTGTTTGATGTGGTTATGTTCACCTCTTGGTTTAAATTCACTTCTGTCATCGTCAGTGGTCGGCTGTCTCGGTTTGTTTGTTTATATTCATGATCCCCTAGGCTTTGTTACTCTCTACGGTTATTAGACGATCACCAATAGCGTTTGGTTATCCAAATTTGCATTTTTTATCTATCTTCCCTTTTCCGTCTTTTCATTGTTCTTATTTTTTTAGCTGAAGAAAGACTATCTTGAAGGCGTCGGAGACACCCTTGACCTGGTCGTGATTGGTGGATTTCATGGCTCTGGAAAACGAACAGGCCGATATGGGGGATTCCTCCTCGCTTGCTACAATCCCGATGACGAGGAATACCAAACTATTTGCAAGGTAATTCGCTTTTGTGGTTTGACACTAATACGCCCGAATACTTTCTAAACCAGTGTCAATTTTGCCACCCTGGTAGTGCGTTGTTGCTTGAAAGGTCAATTTGTCCGCTGTGCCCAGATACTTTACTTCTGGGAAGTGGTTTCCTGTCTCTTCAAATTACCCAATTACGCAGGTATCCGTTTAAACTTTTCATTCTCGTTGGTTTTTTCTCGGCAGAGTTTTGTGCGTCCTTTTTTCCAATTTAGTGAACACCACTTCCTCACCCAGTGGTGTTTTTTTTCATTAATTAGATTGGAACAGGCCTAAAGGATGAAGATCTGGCGAAGCATTCGGATTTCCTCAAGAACTACATCATTCCATCGGCTAAGACCTACTATCAGTATACCAAGAGTCTGGAGCCGGACCACTGGTTTGAGCCGATTCAGGTTTGGGAAATAAAGGCTGCGGATATCAGCATTTCACCAGCCCACAAAGCAGCCGCGGGAATGGCAAGTCGTTTTGCTCTAATTTTGCCCGCCTTATTCTCGGGAAGGCTACTGGGCTTTAATTTGATTAGTTTGGGGGGGGGTGACGTTCGTCCCTAGCTGTGTTTTATCGTGCTTTCCAACTCCAGGCTGACCCGGAGAAGGGCCTTTCTCTGCGTTTTCCGCGTTTTCTGCGTGTCAGGGATGACAAGAGGCCGGAGGAGGCCACGACATCGGCGCAGGTGTACGACATGTACTGCAACCAGGAGCAAGTAAAGAATTCTGACAAGCAAGAGGAGATTAACGAAGAGGACTTCTATTGATTAGCTTGTCTCTTGTGTATTTATACGTCTACATTAAGTGTACATTATCATTGTATTTACAATTGTAATGCAGCAAATTCTGGCTTTTAATTATGCTCCACTGTGAGACCTGGAAGCTGCTCAAGTTGGGATGGCGGAGTGACGCTGTCAACCAAGTTTGCTCACTGTGTTTTGGTTCCTTCGTACGGTTAACATGCCGAGGTCAGTTGTGTCAAGCAGTGAATTAGTACGCAAGGTTACGGAAGCGTGCGTGCGTCTGTGCGCGCGTATTAACCCAAGGGTAATCAACAAGGGGGCTCATGCACAAAAATTAATTTAAAATTTGAAAATACTGTCGTAGTGTCACTTCAGCCTGCTGTACGTAATTTGAAGTGTTTTGCGAGTAGCGAAGACGTGGCCTCCAAAAAGTGACTCAGTGTGAAAATACCTGGTTGCGTTGTTATGTACCATCAAACTCGCCAGCCCTGTAAAAGTACCCTGCGATATTATTTTGTGACTTCTTAATCGCAAGTTGCTTTTGAACTCGCATCCATGAATCAATCTTACCGAGTGTTTCATGTAAGGCATTCCAACATTTCTTTATATAACCTAAGTAGTATTTTGGATTTTGCCTGCAAAAGTTTGCAAGTTGTATCTTCACAATTTTATTTGTTATCAGAAACTTGTATATCACATTACATACAAGAGGACTGCAGTTGAACCTGACCGTTTTCTGTTTATAGTTTACGCAATAAACCCAATTCTGATAAATCAGGAATTTGACTTGCATCGAAAGGGCTTATGTTAGCAGTAAGGTACAAACCTAACAGGTAGGGATTTAGTGTTGTTGTGTGGGACGCAGTGCAAGCTGGGGAATGATATTTTAATTGAAAACGACTTCTAAAGTACAGTCTAGACAGTATTTCGTAAAATTTAGGGGAGTTAGAACAAGTCAGGTTTCCCAGTCATCCATCCGTTCTGACTGTGAGGTTGTTGTTTCCTTTCCGGTTTCACTGTCGTCAATTCCACTTGGCATTCGGTTGAAGCGGAAGCACGAGATCAGTAGTCCCATCACAATCAGAAAGGCAACAGCCACGAGAGACGGTAGCCAGGCTGTGCCACAGAGTTGCCCCATCTGGGGCTCACGAGGGTTTCTCCAAATTTCCTCGGCTATCACAAAATCTACCTCTTCCGCGTCTCTTGAAAGCATTTGCAGGAAGAAGTGGGTGCCGATGATCTGAATAATGGCTGCGGATGCCATCGTTTCCGACCCTGGGGCGCGCAGCATCGGTCCGATCATCGTGAAAGAGCACACGACAGTTGCAAGTTCGGACTCGACGGTAGGCGCGTAGAAGACGATGCCCCTGTAGTCTGCTCGAACGAAGGAGTATATCCCCTCCTCTACGAAAACGAACACGGCAACAGAAAAAAGTACTCTCAGGCAGATGTAAAAGACCTTTAGTTCTGGAAGCGAAGTGATCATGGCCTCCCGTAGCCACGAGGGAGTGCATTCTTCCATCGTTTGTACCGTTAGAGAATGTAGGTGGATGACGGAAAACATCCACAGCTGTCCCAAAATAGACCAAGAGAGAATCATCATCGCACTTGATGAAATATTCCAGAAGTCATCACCGTAAGCACTGGTATTCAAGATTTTGTGAGGGTTCCAGGTGGTAACGGGCTGGTCGGCTTCGTCGTCGCCAGGCCAATGTACTTCCCCGAGGAAAGAACGCAGCCATTGTGCTGGCCGTTGGGGGGCCTTACTTTGTCCCATGTGCTTCACTTTTGTGGCCAAAAGCATTGACCACAGCTGGTCGTACGTGAGAACTGCAACGCATATTATGACGGAAATGTTAGCTTTTCCTGAGGTCTTGGCTGATCTGTAGTAGCGATAAAGCGGCAGTATTGTTAGTAATTGTGACAGGACTGGCAAAAATGCCGTGACCCCAAGATTTGAAAAGCAGGGTGAGATTTGGGTGTCTATCCATTCATCTCCAAAACTTGTTATTGCTGAGGTTGTCGACAAAGTGACCACCTGTCCAATCAAATCTAGAAACCAAAGCAATGTCAGGGAGAACATTGTCAAGTTAAAGCCTCCAAGTGATGTTGCCATTAAAAAAAAGAAAAATGCTAAACTCTGAATTCTGCCTGTTTTGAGGAACTCAATCAGAATGAAAGTAAGCGGGGGGAGTTCGTTTTTGTAGATGTAAATCAGCCCAAGGAATGTGTTCAAGTTGTACAGACCCAGAAGCCACTGGCTCTTATATCGGCTCTCAATGTATTGTCCGACGCTGGAAAATCCAAGACTGTAGAGCCAATTCCAGAAAATCGCGCATATCACTAGCCCACCCAGCCGAGCTGCAAAGAGGCACCAGCTAAGTAGGGCGCCGTTATACAGGTATTCAGCGAAGAGACACGGTGTGAAGAGTTTAGCGCTGGCGAGCCCTAAGAAGAAGGGGTGGTTCCACACAGCGCCTGCACCTTCGAGAAACTGAGCAGCAAGTGTCTCCGGTGACACATTGGCCCATTTATTTTTGACAAAAAGGCAACCCACGAGTGATCTAATGTGAAAATAGCAGACAATTACAATAATGGGCGCGGCAGCAATGCCTAATGCTGCTAGCATGAGAGGAGAAGCGCAATCACGTGGCTTGCACGCTCTCACCGCTAGCTGGTCGATATCACTAAGTCTGTCAAATGCTTGTTCTGCCGTGAACATTCGCGGTCCTCCCCAACTAAACACACTTATTTTGTAGTTTTGTTGCTGTTGACGTAGTAATACGGTCGACATTTTACGCCTAATTGTCACTTAAACACTACCTGCATTTACTCACAAAAAATTCTGTAAGTTTTTGGGGATACCATAAAATATTAGTCGGTTTCTAATTCTCTCTGACATACCTGGTAAATTGATCTAACCCTCACTCAATTCCCGGGAGACGACCCCCTTTATTACCATCCACATGCGTTTTAATTGAGGCAATGGTCATAACTTCCACCGTATTAATAACGCCGATTTGAACAGCTATTCCATTAATTTTAGGCCATGAAAATGTCTAAACAATTAAACCCACTCTTAATTATCCACAAATGAGGATTTGAAATGATTTCAAAGTTTGGGATAATCGCAAATGTTGCATTACTTGCAATTTTCATGGTGTGTAATTGGCAAACTGTTTGCGTGACTTCCTTTTAATGGAAAGATGATTTATTTGTGATTAATGCTTTTTACCTCCAAACCCCACTTGACTACGAATTCTTGGTAAAATATACAAAACAGAAACTCTCAAGAACTTGTTCATCTCATAGGTAGACTTCATTTTGTTCCTCCTCAAAATACTAAATGACACTAGAGCGCATGTGATTGCCTCCACCGCTGCTTTCACAGCATCCCAACTCGCTGTTTGTTTTTTTTATTTGACGCTTAGGTTTCAGTTTATGGAAATCAGGCGCTCAATAGTCACAACACCTGCCAATCGTTTGAGACCATTGAAAAATCATTTACGCCCACAAAACACTCAACTACGACTCAACAAATGAGGAAATAAGCCATAATCATGACCGCTCACAACAGCGTCCCTACGTTTTTGCTACATTGACCAATCTTTTTCACTAATTCTGTTTCTAATGTTGCATTTTCTGCCAATGTGGGCGGTAATGCATAAAAGGACAGTATGCCAGCTGCCTGTGGCCCATTTGAGTAAAGCAATTCTACGTGAGGAACAATTTAATTTGCAGAAATCCGCACACTTAAACTTTCGGCGGAGGGTCTTGAAACGTCTGCTGGAAGTGACACCGGCAAACTGTTGTTTTTATGAATCACATCTACATGTTAATTATTTTTGTCGATGTCGAAGACTACCGATTTCGACATTTATGTTCTTCAGTAACATATTTCTACTTTCACCAGTTCGGTTTGGAGTGCTTTCCATAATTAGGCATCCGCCTAGTTGAGACCACCTCACAACACTGAGCGTGACTAAGCGATATAATGGAGCCCTAATTCACTCCTGTACACTGCTAGCTCCGTTGACTGGTTTAAACATGAAAATGGCGCTGGTTTTGAGCCTCGCAGCGGCTCAAAACATCTCAGCCACCAGCAAGCGACAACTGTGGGTTTCGTACCAAAACAGACGAAGCACACTTGAGTATAACGAACGTGTAAGTGCCAGGAAAGATAATGGTTACTAAGGTATTAAGCCCGACGGCATACTGATGTCGACCCGGAAAGCAATACATTTTCAGGATGCGAAATCGATGGAATTATTTTGGCGTGACAAACTGTTGACGTTCCTTAGTTCGAATTTAGGGCAAATTTCACGTTTTCACATGTTAAAGATTCGGTGCAGTTCAAAATACTCGAATCTCCTTGTTGTTTGGGCATCCTTGATTTCTTGTGGACCTAACCAAATCGATTTAACTATTCAGCAAAAACTACCGACTTTACAAAAAACACCAGACACCGAACAAATGTCATCCTATATGAGGAGCTAATCACTTGATTTTTTTATCTAATTAGCATTCTAAGCCAGCAAAATGTAAAGTTGCAAGGTGATGGGACGCATGCCTAGGCTATCAGTCGTACTGCTCTTGGTACATTTCATGCAACTGAATGAATTTGACTCCTTCATGTGTTTGACGCGTCCAGTAACCATAGCTAATTCTGGAATTGGGCCTTATTAACTGACATATTTTGGCAATTTATGTCTGACTGATATTTGAGGGAAACAATTTAGGTAACTAAAACGCACCCACTGATAGCACATGACTTTGTTTTGATGTTAGAGCCTCAAGATATTACACGTTTTTCTTTCGAAACATTTGAGAAATCGAGAAATTCCTATGCAGCCTTAAACTTCCTTGTAAACTGGCTTATCCACTGTGGCAAAGTAAATTAAAAAACAAACTCAGCAACCGAAATCCGAAAATCTATGCCCAACTGACAGACCTAATTCACGGAGAACAACCCTTGCCCTAAGCGCGTGGTATTGAAAAACGGGAAAAAACCAGATAACAAACTAAGGTTAGCAAGCCTCTCCTTACCGTTACCTGCGACAGATAATCGAACCACGGTCAGTAATTTATAGATGGGACAGACTGGAGGACCACTGTTACATCCTCTTTACGACACTTCTGGAGTGTGCATGGCACTAATTCGAACACGTCCACTTCCAAATCAGGAGTCCATTTGTTATTAGCAGACACGTTTATGCAAGCAGGGTCATTTAATCAGTAAAAAACGGCCATATACACAATAGCACGACTCATTGAGATAAGTAAAGGTAATAAATTCATTGTCAAACGAGAATTTTGGATCCGGCGCAATCCTTGCCGAGCACATAGAGGATTCCCTCACAGCAGTATTGTTCCGGCAGATAACAGGGATGGGTTAACTTGTAACGATAAAGCAGCATCATAAAAATATGGCTAAGCTCGCGCATGGTGTTAGACCATCTTGTCAAGCCTACCAAAGTAGAGCTTGGCTCCAAAAAGAGATAAAAGTGGGGTGGTGGGAAAGGTCATGCAAGTATTTACACCGCAGCGGACGTAGTGTATTTACATTTTTTGCTGCACAGAGTAGAACGCCTGTTTGAGAAAAGGTACTTTGTACAAGATACCGATGAAAATCGTGACCTATAGTTTGCTTTGCCTCCGTACCGCACGCCGAATCGGCCGACCATGTATGCCTGTATGGCTGGGGGTGCTGCAAAACAATAACATGGTCATTGTGATTCAGAATATTTCACTACCGTTTTATAACATGTCACTGCATAATCGCTAGACTATTACTTAAGCTGTAAAACTGCATAAGCAATTACCATATTTAATTAGCATGCATAGCCGTTTTAGCAAAGGAACGCCTAGCACCAAAATATTTAAGAACTGGGCAAGTAAAATTCAAAAACGAAGAGTGACAAGCAAAATGTAAGGCACAAATAAACTAGTTTACGATGCTTATTTGCGCCTTGATACGGAAACTGCCGACGGTGAAACAGTTATCGTGTTGGCATAAAACAGATTCACCGCGATGGCTACTTTCCTCTAACTACGTTTAATGTATACAGAAGCCTTACTTACCTAGCCACAGGAAATACGGAATCTGCGGTGCTTCCAGACGATGGAGAGGAGAAAACAAACAATCCACTGCCGGTTTCACGCGTATGCGCCAGCTCTCCGAATTTGAAAACGGATGAGGGGGCGGCTGAGGAAGGGGGCTGAAAGCTAAATGCACCCGACTGCGAGCTAATCTTACTCGTGGTCGTTGTTGGTGTCACATTCTCCTTTGTAGAGCCGAAGTTCGACGTGGTAGTCTCAGCTGGGGAACCAAACTGAAAGCTACCGTTTTTCATACAGGTCGATGGTTCAATTGGTGGTGCGAAAGTAGCCGGCTTCAGACCTAGTGTGAACCCCTTTGAAGATGTAGACGTGGTGGGCACATCTCGGGAATTTGTAAAAGAGAAGGAGGGAACCGTGGCACTTTTTGGAAAAGGAGTAGTGGTATTAGCCCCCACAGACCCCAAACTAAATAAGGAGGGCGAATTTATTTTGGCATTCTGAGCTCCAAACTTGAAAGACGACTTTACTGCTGAAATAATAACAGGAGGAGAGTCGGTGGATAAAGGAGGCGTGTTTATTGATGCAGTTGCGGTGGATTTCGCAGGCTCAGGGACAGTAATAACCGACTCTGGCTTCGAGGTTGTACAACAGACGCAGTTTACGGCGGAAGGACTATTTCTTACGAGGCAAGTAGGACATTCCCATTTGTCAGTTGGGAGGTGTTTCACGTCTCCCGAAGATCTTTTCGTTTGACAACGGGAACATTCAACAGCAAAATTGGCATTTTGAGCCATACAACTGGGGCAGTCCCATTTGCTATCAACCAATTTTGAAGAGTCAACTGTAGGATTCGAATTCGGTGGTTGCCTTTTTGCTTGACAGCACACACAGGATGCAGCCGAATCACTATTCTCAACTAGACACGAAGAGCACCTCCACTTTGTGTTCGATATCCCACCAAATTTAAACCCAGTGGTAGGCGTTGTGTTCTCAACCGTAGAATTACCAAGTGTAAAGTTAGATTGGGCAGTTGTAATGGTAGCGGCGGTTGTGGCATTGTCTGTTGAACAGATGAATGTGGAAGTCCTGACCGCAGTAGATTCACTCGATCCCGAAAATGGGACACCAAACGGAGGGGTATTTCCTGTTGAATGGGTCTTAGAGTGTGGGTTTGAAGTATTGCAACACGGACAGGACCCCATAGTCGCATCATTTTTAACCAAGCACGTAGGACACTCCCATTTTTTGTCCGATGTTGAGGACGTCGTGGTCATAGAGTCACCAAACTTGAACATACTCGAGCCAGAAAATGTTGTCGTGGCAACAGAGCTGCAGGGTTTGGACGAAGTTACAAGCGAACCAAAAGTAAAGCTTTCATTGGAAGATGCGATTGTTTTTGGAGGACCGAAGTTAAACGTTGGAGCACTAACAACTTTTGTTAGAGATGCAGTTTTATCCCTGTTGTCGGAGGGATTCGCCGTCTGGCAGCAAACACATTTGGAAGCCTCCGACTTGTTCTTCACCATGCACGTCGGGCACTCCCATGAGCCTGGAGCAATGTTTGGGAGAGGCTTGAGAGTTTCTGCGGTGGTCATAGTGGTTAATTGTGGAGGCCTTGGAGAGGAATTGGGAAGACGACAAGATTTACACATGCTATCCTTATCGGAATTCTCAGTCAAGCAGCTTTCGCAACGCCACAAATTCACATCGGGTGGAATTGCAGCTAAAACCAAACACAAATAATATATCGTTATTTTTATTCCCACTGCGATCGTGCTGAAGTCGAGCATAGAATCGATATGCACTACAATACAGCTTCCTGGTTAATGCACACTACACTATTGAAGATTAGCTATTGTGACGAATGGGGACGCAAAAGTAGAGGAACCATGGTTGCTGAAAAGCATTAACAATCACAAATGTGCAGAGGGACATGACCCATGATTATGACTGATAACGATAACCAAAATTACCTCGTTTTGGAGTGAACGAGTGTATTTCCTCAGTTGGCTGCTGAGGTGAGAGAAGAGTAGGAAGGAAAGATGAATCCAAAACAGGAGCAGGTCGCTTCGGCCGTGGTTGCGGATAACTAAAGCTGAAGTGAGGAAGAACCGGGAGTGTGACAATGGGTCTCTCTGGTGGATCAAGACTAATCGGATTAGAAAAAGTAAATGTTGATAGCGCCTCAGTCTTGATCGCGGAAGTGGACTTTTCGACACGAACAGGAACACTAGCAGACACTTTCGACGTCTGTGGGTTAGCTGTGGTAGGAGAGTGAGGTTTTCCTGCAGGATTTCCTAACCCACAGTTCGGGAAGTTAAGCCTTGGAAGAGTATCCGCAGCCAATGAATTTAACGCTGTTTGTGTGCTTGGTAAAACAGCTGCAGTGGTCGGTTGCGCACCAGTGACTGCGGAAGTAGACATTGTAGCCAGTGGCTTTGAACTAGCGACTGTGTACATTTGTCGACTCACAACACCACCGCCAAAGTGTAGCTCGCTGGTTTGATTATAAGCTAGTGATGACTGATGCGGAGCTGGAGAAGTCAGCGCCTGAGAGGCGGTCCGTTGTAGCCGATTTTCTTTGTAACGCTTGTAAGCGGCCATGTATGCAGGATAGCGAATAGTACTTCGCTGTAAAGGCTAAAAAAATGTCAGCAAGACCGTGCAAAGCTTCGACAAACACACGAGACTCATGGAGACTTACTTTGGAAAGAGGAGTGGCAGGAACGGATCGTGGAAATGGAACACTAACGCTTGAAGTTAAGGGGAAATCGTGACGTTCAAGGTTCTGGAGGATAAGTTGAGCAGTAGCACTAAGCATGGTGTTGGACGAAAACTGCTGGTTCTTTGATGAAATTTTTTCTTCAGGAGCCTCCATGATAAATCTTAGAGGGGTCACGTGCTAGAATGTTTAATTAAAGTGTCTAATTATATGTGCCGCGAAAATAACCAAGTAACTGCACGAACGCAGTAAAGCCAATTAATTAAAATAGTTATTCAACACACCTCAAACACACTTTGCGATTTCGATAACGACCGCATGCTTGAAGCCCCTCCATAGGAAACCCTCCCACGATAAAACGGAGAAGAGAAGGCGTGTGACAGGCCAGACTGCGTACTTTCTGTGCGCATTCTCTTCGACGCAGACTCGTTTAGACAGGAAGATGGCCTTTTAATCCTGTCGGTATCAGACCATAGTTCTACATTGTTGAATTCCCGAGTACTTGAGCCACTTTGTTGACTGGTGTATCCGCTCTTGTAACCCAACAATGGAGGTCTCACTGACTTTTCCACACCGAAAAGTGGTTCAATCTTGCAGTTACGGGGTAAAAGGGATGAAACACCACTAGTTGAAACTGACGTTCTGCTCCCCGAACTGGACTCGGACTTGTCGTCTTTTGCGTCCAAGTCTACGTCAACGTCAGACCTTGGAAAGGAAATAACATCCGGGATTTGTACGCCATCGACACGACTAATACTCAGTCGGTTTGACGAGCGTCGTGAGCGAAGCCCCAAATCTTGCTCTGATAATACTGACGTTTGGGGACCGCAAATAGAGCTTTCCGTTTGTTGACTGCTATGAGTTGAATCTTCTGAACTCGTCTACTTCTTATAAATATTAAGAAAACCAAACCTCATCCTTTGAGTCAAATAATGACGGGAGGAAAGATGAAATTGTGTCGGTAATCCGATTAAGCAGTGACTAGAATAAAAAAAGTTGAACTCGAGGATGCAAAAGGCCATATTTACAGTCAAATAAAAGGCGTACCTGTCTACGAGGAGGAATAGTGCCATTTTGACCTGAATTGTCGGAACACAACTTACGACCATTCATGTTCTGGTATTAACTACGAAACACGCGCAAAATTCCAGAAACCGCGCGTCAAAACAAAATTTCCTCTAATATTACAATGCCTATTTGGCTAACGCTTATATATATTTAATGTACAGACAGCTTTAAGTTCAAAATATTACTTTTTCATGCTATATGAAACAGTCCAATGATTACAATTCAAAAAAGACAACTGTCGGTTACAGATGCAGAATACTAAATAAAGTGCTTACTGATACTGATCACTATTTCATCTTTTCAGACGCGTCAGTTAAATTTTTTTAAGGAGAAATCTGAAAATCCGTGAACATTTGTGGAGTTGCGCAAGTTTAGAAGAATGTGCAGCTTGAGATCTAGTCTATGTTTAGGAATACTTTGATTAGGTAAAGAACTTAATTTTGTGAGGAAAGTAATTAGAGGAAACATATTCTTGAAATACGCTTGCCAAAAACAGTTTATCTCCGATTATATTGGGACAATTTCGTTGGTACATTTTGGCTTTCGATTAGTCGGCTTTTACTTCTCATGCCTTTTTACATAAACCTACCGTGTCTGTGCTGCAAGATACCATGAGGAGAAGTTTATAATGCTCTCAGGAACATTAAATACATGAATTTTATTTTTGAAAACACTATGCATTACTCCAATTTGCAAAATTTTCGGAAAAATCTGCAACATGCGACACGTAGCTAAATGAAAATCCTAATGAACGTACATTTCTTGAATTGCAAAACCAATGAGAGTTTGGTCTAAGAAGTGGGAATAAAGGAATTCCAGCCATAACTGCTACAAATAAAAATTTAAAAAATGTATAGAAGATGTGCATTTTTTATATTTTTCATGGTGTTAAAATGATGTTTTAACAGTTCGTATTATTATACTAACAGCATTTTCAGTCAAGAGATTCAAAGTAAATTGAGTGACTTTCATCGTTGGACGTCAGTCTTTGTGCCCTACGAATAACCGGTCTCCGTGGTTAATATACTAGACTATTGTTAATTGACCTCAATCACATAATTTTATAGGTGCATTATAAACTCTTACTTAACTATGAAAAAAAAAATATCTTTGTGTTCGAAGAACGGTTCTGAATAATAATATTTTTCCTACAGTTGGTAAATAGCATCTGCTCTAGCGTTAATCAAAAGCTGGAAATGCTTATTAGAATCGGCACATCAGCTAATTGGTTCAAAGTCGTTTTCTTCGACGATAAAAACAACTTATTGCCAAGAGTTACCAATTTTGTCATATTTGTAGGCTCCTTATCCTTCTATTATTATTAAAGGAAATGCCATTAACTTGATGCAACATCAAACAAAATAGTCAGAACCAATAATGTACGTTTCAAAATATAAATCGGTATAAATTTTCTAGTGTTTTTTTTACCAAGTGATTATCTACAATTTTAAAGCCTGTCCCATTTAGTAAAAAGAGGATACAAATTATTGGTTTGAATATGGTTCCGTTGTATTTGAAATAAACTCTACCGGCAATTTACACTAGACATTAATTTTCCCTTATTGCTTAGAGGCTCGTTGTCTCTTCGATCATTGCTTATTCTATACCCTAATTTGATTAAACTTTTTTTTGTCTAATAAATCGTCAACATTCCATTTGAGCAAAGTAGCCCCGATTCGCCTAATTTTAGCTACGCTCAAAAGTAAAATATGTTAAACCCCAATGACTTGTGTCCTATTAAGAAGTATTACTTCGTTATAAGATCGTGAACCTTTCAGCTGTTGTTTACACTTTCAAAAAAAGATTGAAACCTGACAATACATTTAGGTACATGTTTTCAGTATGAAAGTATAGCTTAACAATAAAAGTATTTTCAGGATAGACAACATTGATATATCCCAAGGCATTAGTAAAGTGCATTTAAAAAAACATAAGGGCTCTAGTAAGCAGAAGCTTTTTTTGCCTTTAACTGACTGCTGGTGGGGTTTTATGGGCTTAGCAATAATTTAGCAGAACGAAAACTCAATCTTCATAGATGGAATCCAGCACTTACGCGATAGCAACCTTGTACATTTAGATTTGAGAAAAGCCAGTAGCTTTTTCTAGCCAAATCCGACTTCAACTTATGGTTCAGTTTGTCGTCTAACCTTAAGTTCGCCATGGTTAAAATAGGCCAGATTGTGCTGGTCATTGCAATGCAATGGTGTAGTTCGGGCCCAAGTAATATTTCGTGCCGATTGAATAAAGTGGAAAAATCACAAGTGGTAGTCGTTTCGATGGGTGCCGTGATAGTGACTGACTTCGATCAGCACAAAAGTCTGCCATTTACCATCGCATTACGTAAAACACCAAATTTTATCTGACCCGAAAAAAATCGTTGCTCACCTTTGCAATCGTACAAGACCCAAAGGATACTAAGAATATCCAACTATTCGATTTCAAATTGCATGGATCATTGTAACTTTCTTGATGGAATTAACGAATAACTTACTCAGCTGTCAGGACCCCGCCATTGGAGCTCTGTTCAAAAGTATCCCCGGCTACCAATAACGAATTTTTACTATTTACTTGGGAAGGGATAAGACAAAACTTACGCAAGGCATCAGCCCGTCTTTAAGGATTAAATGCGCCCTGTAATAATTAAATCCATTCCCAGTAGGCAAGAAGCATTAGGTGTTAGAATGTCGGTGGACCTCAATTTTAACAGTTGGTAAAGAAGCGTTTACCAGGCAGATGCCTTTTAACACGTGACATTAACTTTTCTACGAGCACATTTGTCTTTTGATCTGCTGGTAGTGGGTTTTGACGGCAAGCAATTCAAGTTGCAAACTAAGACACGCTTTCGGTCGTCGACCATCGTGCTTTAATTCCATGCTTAGTTGAATAAATTTAAATAGCAACTACTTTCTACTAACACCTCTTATTCTGATCTGGCAGTGTCCTAACTTTCAAAGTTTCTGGTTCAAGAGACTGCAAAATCACCATGTGCACCAGCAGCCAACGACAACGAAATGCGTGCATCCACAATTGAGGTTTAATAAGAGCGGGACTTTCAATGGCGCGAACTAATTTTGAATTTCAGGGTGACCACATCTGTAAAATTGGCGGTTACATGAGGGAATTGGCTGACCAGATATAATAAAATTTTGGTCTATCGACCTAAATCTAAGTCGCATTTTTAAAATAAATGGTTGCAGCTTACAGCATTGACATATGCATTAGTTTTTGGATACAAACTCCTACAACAGACTTTTTCCCTTCTGAGGTGGTGTGTTTGGATTAATAGACTTAATTTATTGCGCATTACTGGGAAGTAATTAAGGGATCTCAAAACAATGATCAGCATAATCATATTCAATCAAACTAATGGAACTGTTCAATCTCTTGATTATTCCATACACGACGTGCTTGTAGGAACGATGGATTAACATGCACATGGAATTCGACAAAATTGCTACCAAATTAATTCTGTGCCACTGCGCCCTTCCCATCCCCACTGATCTCCCAACTGGTGTGCTACTTTTAACAGCACTCTTGGATGCCCATCCACCCACGAGCCAAGTGGCCTAGGTGCAACTTCTGAGAAAGTCAATTTTAACCCGAAAGACAATTTGTTGGTTTTTTTACTCATCCTTTGTTTTTGATGAAACCTGTTTTGTAAGCATCAATGACTCCACTCAGCCAGACTATTGCGGTGTGTCAGCGTGCGCTTATCACCAAAAACCTGTCCGAACAGGTTTACCCGAAAACGGTTACCTTTACTGTGTCACCTCTTTTGTGCTGTCATTCATTCGCGCAAATCTGCCTTCTTAAGCGTGCTCGAAGAGATATGTCCAAACTTTCGAACTCCGACACAAAGCCTACCTAGCGGGTGAGTGGAGATTCGTGTCCGCGTCGCATCGTGTCGCCACTCTGCAAGCCTCTGACATCCGAAAGGCAGTGTTTAGGTCTCAACAAAAATATCTTCCCTCGGAGGCCTCACTTGTTGATTTAAATTTAGCCGACCATGCAGCGCATTAGGGTATTGCTAAATGACTTGCAGAATACAAATTCAAATGAAGCCCACTCTGTGATTATGACTGAAACAAACCCTCTTAACAAACGATGTACAACTAATGCCACCGGAAACAAATTGGACATCATTTAAGTCGAAAATCTTCAGAGATTGATAATTTTTAGTAGTAAGTGCTGCCATAATATTCTTCGCAGCGAAGTAGTTGTATTTGCTTATTTCGGCTGCAAAATTCATTACATGTCCCGGTGTTTATGCAATTGTATCATCCCAGATGTGATTTACTTGGCTGGTGGTGATGGAGGAAGCAGTGGCTGAGGTGGTGGCGGCGGCGGTGGTGGCGGCGGCAGAAATATCCCCTGCATCACCCTTTCCAAGTACTCCTTCAGGCTAGAGGTCCATGAGGACACTCCCCCACACTGAGAATACAATGCTAATGCGACCTCAGTGGCGATGCTTTCAAACCAAAGATTCGTCTCATCTTTTGTTACCTTTTCGTTAATCAACGTTGTGAGTACTTGCCGATAGTTCATGAGGTGAGCATCATTCAAGCGTGAAGGGGGTTTGTCTACTCCTCCTGGACCTCTGCGATTTGAGAGCATTATGGACTCGTCTGTGAAATTGAGGGTTGGTGGAGGAGGGGCACAAACTTTTTTGTTGCGGTTGCCCCCATTGAAAACAGCTTTTATGTCTTCCCACGCAAAAAGGACATTCTCTGGGGGGTTAGGGTCCGCCAAGAAAAGGTGTCGTCGCCAGGCGTTGAAATTCGCCGCATCAGGATGACGATATTTGGAAATCTGCTGCTGCGATCCGGTTTCAGTAGCACTGTGGCAGTGAAAAATGAACTTGTTTGGGGAGAAGAATGTCTGAAATGTAGAAAAAAGGATAGTTAGCGTTAAAATTTTTTAACAAATAATTCAACTGATGCTTGTGTTTTTGCATGGTTGGTTTGGAGTGGGTCAGTGTCTAACACAAACGTAGAATTTAAAAGTAATTACAGGAGAGAAATATGTCTTAAATAAGAGCCACCGGTTGCTCTTGTACTCCTCGAATCGCCCCCACCCACTCAGAGATTCGGTTGGAAGTGGGCTCACACGAAGACACCTTTGAACAGATCCGGGTGAGGTAGGTTCGGAGTAAAAGACATCACATGCTGTAGAAGATCGGTAATACATTGGCGACCACCAGCCACGGGAAACCAGCCACCAGAATTAGCCGATGCACAAATGAACGGTTAATCTGTACTCAGTGCCGAGGTAGCGGCAAAATTAAAATGGCAACAGAAAAAATAACGAATCGCAAGCAGACACTGAGCTCATGGTTAAAGGGATGGGGGCTCTATTCGCACTTGAGAGGTACTGACGGAGAGACGGAAACGCACATTTGAGACCGAATTGTCTCCACTAACCAAAATTGTGCCACAGTTAAAAAATCCTCGAAGGTTGATTGAATTCAATGCAGCGGATGTTCCTTAAATCGAAAGAGTGTGAATAATCTGAAATACAAGCATTACGAGGACTCACAGAGCAGCAACCCCAAAAGATTCTGGTAATCTAATAAAGCGGCTAAAAGTATTTCTGGTGAAAATCATTTTGAAGTACGCGGAGCTGCTTTGAACCCCAGCCGAAACTATGTTAGAACAGGCGAGGAGTTATTTTACTTCTGTCTTCAATTCGGACGTAAACGAGTTCTTAAATTGTTGTGGATTACATGGCATTAATTTAACACTAAGGGCTACCAATCCACTTTACCGTTATAACCTAATGACAACCCATTTGAGTTATAAGCAAAATAGTAAACCCAACAGTAAAAAAAACCCTCTGGCACTTACATGACAGACGGAACACTGGACGCACTTTGCCCGTGAGCTGTTGTATCTAGTCGGGAGGAAGTAGCCGGTGCAGCCCCATCCGCAGTGATGCACAACCTCGAAGACGAAGTTCTCCGGCAGTTGCGGAGGAGGCAGCTGCTGGAGAAAGGACTCCACCAAACGCTGGGCCTCTCTTTTAGTAATGGTTCCGCACCTTCGCGAAGACAGCGGCATTGCGCCTACGCGTCGAAGTACTTCAAGTTGTCGAGGGGTGCACTGGACACAGGTGATGCCCAGGGCCACACGGCGGTTGTGAATCTCGTTGTATGAGTAGTCGCGCAGCAGCCTGTTGGATATCTGGGCCAGACAGAGACGCTCCTCGCCGTTAAGCACTAGACACACCAGCGGCTCCCCGAAAAGGTAGTAGGTGGATAGACCTAAGTCGTCGACAGGCGTTGGTTGCAGAAGAGTTTGAATAGAGTACTGGAGAGTCTTCTCCTTGTTCTCCGAATTTTTCATTTCTGTCTAAAAAACATAGATTCAACCGGCCATGCAAAACCAGTTTTGTGGCCATTCGACTGCAAAATACCATTACTCAAATAAAACTTTACGACTTCTATTTAAATTAGGCGGTCATTAAAAATGCCAAATAATTTATTAAATGAACCACAAGTGTTCTCCGGCAGTGGATTTGTGAACCTGCCTTTAAGCAGCATTTGAACTGGATTAAAACCATCATCTAAGTGGTATTATGTAGAGTGAATTACGGACTCGTCAAACCAGAAGCACTAGATAACTTTGTCAACAGGCCCTGCAACATACTTTTAAGGAATCGCTCGGGTTTAACACCAATTTTTGGGCTTTTCTACCGCAGAATACGATGTGGATCATTACGGTGTTTTAAAAATTTCTCCTAGTTGTAAGGCATAAAACGGATTTGACCATTTGAGATAGTATTTGTGGTCGAGCTCTGATTTTCACCGAAGGATCGCTGAGGTCAGTTTTCGCTAGCTTAACATGAGCCAAATAAACATGACACTTTAACCGTGTACTAGAGCATTATTGAAATCGGCACCACACACAGGGAGTACATAAAAAAGGTAACGTGCAGAAGTTAAAACTTACTGACCTGTAAATAACTCGGGTGAAAAACATCGGACGCATGGTGCTTTTGATATACTCGCGTACGGGCATCAGACGAGAAGTTGGCCAATGGGACTCTCAAAAACTGCCCGGCCAATAAAAAGTGAACGCACGTCCGCTGGACGCGAGACGGGGGGGGGCAGTGAGGTGCGATAGAGTTGAGGGGGCGTTGCAGCATCTCCGCAATCACAGCCCACGAATTACGTAATATTAGGCTGGAAAAAGGCAGAATTTTCACATCATTTGGCGCTCTCTGGACTAATCTGAAAACTCAGAAGCTGCCCGTTTGGTGGTCAGCCAAATTTCCGTCATCGGTTTGCCAAAGAATGACTTTGGACTGTTTTGTTAAAGTTGGCATGACGTATTGCATACCCAATAGCCGACCATAAAATCTTGATATAACTGTGATCAAGTTTTTAAAAAAAAGAGAAGCACCAGACATTTTCATTCGGCGGCTGAACTTGATAAATGCGCCTTTAAAATGATGCTGTCCTACTGGGCCACTACAGAGTCTGACGATTAGAAGTGTTGCTTTTAAAAGATGATAACTGATCATAGAACACGTTTATTATAACAACTCCAAATATTATGGAGAAAATATGGAATTAATGTTTCGTTGGGCAAAGGTTTGTGAATCTCAGGGGCAATCTGCAAAACTGGATCTATTCCAAATTACAGCAAAATGGCAGGTCATCGTAAACCAAGAGAGTAGCTTAGATGAAAATAGTTGAGTCACTTTGTTTAAAATATGCTTAAAAGGTTTCACTAACAAGGAAGTTTTTGTTTTTACAGAAACTGCAGGGTGGATTAGTAAGGTCATTTTAACTCTACACCATCATGTCTAAAACTTAAAACTTTCTGCCATCTGTTATACAAATCGGTCAGGCTTTTAGCGACTGGTTCTGATTACTTACTGAAATGAACAATGCCTTATAATACTAGTAGTAAACAAACTTCATCTTCGAGGTTCTGAGGAGGTATGGGAGTGATGATCGTTTTGTGATTCTGTGTCTAGAAGTTCAGTGAATGCGTTAAGCCATTATGATGCTGGTGCTTACTTTGTACTGAAAACTACATGGACTTAACCGTAAAGACAGCTAATATCTCTTTTTTGGCATATTTTTGAAGTGTGCACCTTAGAGTTCTGATGCCGAGTCTCATAGTTGGTTTAAACCGTGCTCCACCCCTAGATTCCAATCCCGCAAGAACACAAAGCTTACTCTTCCAGTGTCCGTTCAGTTTTGGCCTCGTTAAGGCAGATGGTGGTGGTGAAAGGCAGGATCTTATAGAGAGCACCGAATGGAGCTGAAAGACATCAATGCTATTGAACTCGTTATCAAATGGAAGTTCGAACTGTTGATGAGAGGGGAGAATTCCATCAAACCCATTTAATTTACTTCGTAACTTATCCGATCCATGAGCGTGAAACGCATTCTGCGTATTTCATGTGGTAAGGAACAAATGTAGGTTTAACCTTGAGCCTACGGTGGTCATGGCAAAACACCACAGTGTATGGGAGTCAGTGAATAAGGAGAAAGACGTACAAAAACGAGGCGGAATAATTTCGCGCTCTTGGGTGGATAACGAGCTACGTATAAAGCTCCACCTTGTGTGAACAAAAGCCCGAAAGCGATCATCAGCACATTTACATAACCAGATTTGAAATTAATTCGCTAAGCAAACACTAAATTGCAAGCCTAGTGGTAGTGGAATCGGCAGTGTCAGAGTGCACGTCATGGCGAACAGAGGTAAGGGTGACAGTCAACACCAATAGAAACTGTACTCTCCGTGTAAGAGTGATACGCGGCGGACACAGAATGTTAGCGAAATCCTCTTCTTTACCTTCTTTGAAGGGAACGTGCCTTAAGCAAATCTTTCCAAATAGAGTCCACCTTTAGATCAGACTCTAAAGGTGCTCTTCACGGGAGTTTTCACACTCATTGGAAAGTTATTTCGAAAAAAAAAGAGGTGAATATTCTAGTTACATCTAACTTTTTTGATATTCTTGCGGACCAGCAAACAAATTTGGGTGCGTCAGTGATTATTTTTATCTCTGAAACAAATCTAAGCAACCTAAAGTTGAGGGAATTGCATTTAAACCAGCCTGTGGGTTAACTACAGGCACTTTACTCGAAACTACCTCTATAAATCAAAATCAGACGATCAACGAATGGATAATCTGACTACAGGCTTACAGACCACGACAGACCCGTGGTTGATCTCGATAAGCTAATTTTCCCAAAAAAATGCCAAATTGCAGAAGTTCAAAATTTATACCATCAGTTGATTCCTCGTGGAAATTGGTGCATTCACTAACCAGATTCTAGGAAAATTCCGCTTAAAGTTGAACCAGGAAAGGCCGCAAGACATGTGCTCATTCTAGGTTAACGATAAACTAGGGCGAAACCTAACCCCTCGCCACCAAACTACAATCACCGTTGATGGGCCAACCGATTATTCATTATTTTCTACTCCCTGCCTTGTAATTCAAATGCACGTGTACGTTTATTTGTAGGAGACACAACAACAATGCGTTCTTCATGTAACAAATGCGTCGATGGAGTAAACGAGAAAGGTGGGTTTATGGCCGAAATCGCAACTGTGTAGGGGAGGGGAATCCTTAATACAATAGGTGGAGGGATAAACGTAGTCATACATACGTTGGGAAGAATGGTGAAAGAATTTACCAAACAATGGCGACATTAAAGCATCCTCTGTGTTGCCACAAGACAGCGGGGGCCTTTTGTGGTTAGAAATTCTGGCCCTAGAGCTTTTCGCTTTTCACGTAATTAAAATTATAAGGGTTTTGGGTTTCGTGTGGGCAGATCTCTTTGAAGTTGAATTATTATCCAGAATTAGACAATCCTATTGTCTTTCGTTGAGTGTTTAGAAACGAAGTGCCGAATTATCGTTTCTAAAGGATAAGGGTTGGCCATTTTGACCTTACTAAATTGCTTGAGTAATAGGTTCAAAGGCAACTTTATGTGTTTCGAGTGTTTAGATAATGGAAGCACACGGTTTCATATATTTTGCTGTTTTTATAGTTCTTCTAGACTCCGGGTTGGATATTTAGAAGGGCTTACATTTAAAGACCAACATCAGGATTATAGCAGCAGTGAAGCAGAAATAAAATTAACCTACCGCATTTGATACGGCTCAAAAATGGGACGCAGTACTTAACTTAAAGCAACCCTTTGATTATGTGGCAGGTTTCAACACATTCAAAAGCGGGACCTCCAGGCGCTGAAGAGGTAGTTTTACGAGGTCAACGACATTGCCTTGCTGAGATCCTGTACTGTCAGCGTGGCCAGGTCAGTTTAGCTGACTTTGGAGGCAGAAATGAGTTGAAGGCTTCCATAGAGAAAGGTATGGTCTCGTGTTGCCTTAACTTAATTAAATACCATAGGGTGTTTGTTCAACCGGCGCTAGAAGACGGATATCGTTGCCTTCTAAAACAGGCCAGAGCATCGTAGACCAACATTTTGGCCAGTCAAAACTTGGCATAGAACTAGAGCATAAGAATATTTCGCAGAGTGGTGAAAGTCGAATCCATGGTCGACGGCTACGGTTCAACCAGCGGAAACTCCAGATTGAAACGGCGAACCACAGGCCTATCGATGCAATTCCAGTCCTGGCACAGCTGAAGGTAGGGTAAGACAGCACAATCCACACCGCAAATTGTTTAATTTGGCGCGGACAGACAGGCCGTAGAAGTAAGTGTCCGTGCTTCTAGAGCAATTCCCTTTTGAGCAATTTGATTAAAACGATACAAGAGCACGTACGAGAGTACCTACACGATGGCAATCTTTGCACGGCTAAATGTTTGCTTCGTGAAAGGCCTTAGGGGATGGGGACTGGCCTGCAGCTGGGGCGTGTCCATTCCTTTCGAGCGCTGCAGGGGTACCACAGGGGGAAGGCGGCGCAGCAAGCAGACCGCTCTGACTGCTCGCACCGCACACCGCTCCCTCAGGACTGGTTAGGTTAGCGCCCCCTCCCACACACAACACGCACTCTTGCGTTTTGCAGCAACATGCAGTGAGCATACGAGGGGGTTTCACCAAGTCAAGCAACACAAGTCACCACGACTCAGACAAAGGCAATTAAGGTGATGTGTATCAGTCCTTTTTAGTGGTTGCTGAGGTCGAAATCTCAACCGTCGATAAAACAAGGGCACTCAGGGGTTTGTCGTGAGTACTGGCCCATGATAGGGGAGTTTACTGATCGCAAAAGAATGTAGGAGTCTTCTGTGTAGACACGACGCCGCTGTAGCAATGCTCAAAGAACTCACTGTGACCTATTAATTCACGCACATTGATGCAATACTTGGTATTATTTGGGGCATCTGATAGCGGGGAAGGAACGGGATTTATAAAAACGCTAAATCAGGAGTCAATTAACTAAAAGAAATTCAATTTTATGCAGAGATCGGGTAAACTTACATACGAGGTAACGTACAAAGAGTTTCACTCGTTCCCATCCATTTAGAAATGGCATGACGATGTAAATGAAAAGAGGAGAACGGGCCAAGACAGCAGCCAAGGAACCGATGTTCATTCAGATATCTTTTTTGGATAGAGGAACTAAAACTTATCCGAGTTAGTGTGTTAAAAATAGCTAGAGGTACCGAGATGCTTCTTGGTTATAAATCCAAAAATGTTGAGATCTTCATGGGGTTAAGCCGCAATTATAATGCGCCACTACCCTAACGGCTTTGTTTTAAACTACCTTAACTGGCACTATGGAGTACAATTAAAATATCATGCAGTTACTTAGACCAATGACTCCCCAAAACGGTAAGGTTAAATCATTAAAATGCTTATTTTTGGTTAAAAGACCACAGTCCAAGAAAACACGTCTGCTAAGATTTTCAACGGGAGAAAGTCAGTTGTTAGTGGTTGAAATTTCTCCAAAATGTATACATTCAGTTATTGACATATTGAAGTGTTAGAGGTGACCTCTGGCGTGGCATTGCTAAGAATGTACACATAAATTTCCGTAGCGGAATGTCCGAAAATTCACAAGTGATCACCAAGTTTCGCCTCTTCGAGAAATCCCGCTCACCTCGGTTACCCTCGTTGCCAATGCGAACGAAATGCAGCTGCCATCCGAATTTAATGTACACGACGGGGCTGCGTCCTCGACATGCTAGCTACTTTCAAAAGAACCACCTTTTAAAATGGAGAATTTGCTACAAGAACGGCATCAAATGCACGCTTTGAAGATTCTTCACACAAAAATGGCGTATGAGCATTTTATGCATACTTTTTCGATACTGATCAGACATGATGTTCCACCGAGATCAATTGTTGCGTTTCTCTTAAATTTAATCACTGACAATATGTGCAATTTAATCAATACTGTTCCGTTCCTTTTTTTAAGTTTTGACATGAAAAGCTGTCCATTCACGTTTTAAATTCCACGCCATTATTGAACGAACATTGCGCAAACTGATAGACAGCGATAAGGAAAAAATGAAAGTACGGCGAATGTGAAAGACGTGGCAGAACCTTTGTCAATGTGAGGGGACGCTGTTAGGTCCCGTTTCGAGCATCGCAGTGTTAAGTCGAGGTCTATGCTGAATGTCGCCTTGTTCAAAAAAAGCCTATTTTGCATGATGGCGTCACAGTCACACAACTCACCCTTCAGCCCAATGTCTTGGCCGTCATGGACACCAATTTCACGCCACCAATAATCATAGCTACTTAACAAATATTAATACAAAGTACATTGTACAAAATTCACAGACTCGATAAGGTACAGAACTGGTCGAGTTAATTGCCAAACTAAGTACACAAAACGAAGTTGGAAGAGAATCATAATCAAGGAACCTTTAGAAGGGCGGAGGCCGCTGGTTCTCTGTGCCCAGGGCTCTGGTGGCCTTTTTGGTGAGGAAGGCATCAATAAACTTCGTCGCGTCGATTCGGAGCCGCCCACTCTGGTCGGGACTGTGGACGAATCGATTAAAGACGTCCTCCAATGGCGCATCTGGACTAAGTGGCTGCGGCGATGGACTTCTAACCTCCACATCACTGTCCGCCTACGTAAATAAAACAAAAAAAACAGTTGTAATCTGAAGCGGACCAAAGGCGCTGCGTTACTCGCTTGCGATCGAACTGGTCGTTGAAAGTTGGTTCTACCAACAGTCAGCGATGCTAAACCGAAAGATCACAAAAAATGACGCTCTGGGATCCAAGCGGGTGTTTCTGGGGTTACGAAAAGGTCTCATTTGCGATGTACAACCACTACATCACAGGGAACACAGTTCAGGGAAAGCAGCGCCATTTGATATGGTTTCCTGGAACTTAACTGGTCTTGTCAAGTTCAACATGGGCCTAAATCTATACAGGGAGATTTGAAAGCTCCAAGCGCAGAAGACAATGACTGCAAAAAGAAGGGAACGTTAGCAGAAACGAGACAGTAATTGAAATTGCGGGGCGCCACAGAAGACCATCGTCCAAGTTGCTACGGTCTGAAATTCCTACGGAAGGCTACTGAGTAGTCACGCAAATCCAAGTAACGTGAGATTTTTATGATTTGGATGGCTATCAGGCACGACAGGCCATGTCAAAATTAGGCTTTCACGGCTGCTTCGGCGGCGTAGCGGCGGTGTAGACTACGCAGTCCATCACAGGCCGTGACCGAGTCCATTGGCCAAATGCCTGTGCACCCGACACCATTCCGTTTGCAAAATGCACCCATTTGTCATTTCTGCTGCTACTTTTCAGGTGCGTCTTCAAGCTAACTGGAAAATGCTCCAAGTAAGACCAATAAGAAAAGCTAACATGTTCAGACAAGGAGCGCTCTTTCTGTTTCCACTCTATGTCCTAATCAAACAATCGATTTATTCAAATAGGGAACGAGGCACATAAACTCCTCTATTTACTTAGTACTACGCAAGGAATGTTTGCGACCTCAACAGCGACCGTAATACACGCTCTCCTATCATGCCACTTTACAACCAATAACCTCGTATCTGTTCTGGTAAAATACGCCAGTCTGGTTTCCTCCCAAGCATCACTGGTACGGAACACCGACCCATTCCCACACTTCCCTTAGCGAAACAATTATGTTCCGTTATCGGATAATTACGGTTAGTTAGTGGGCAGAATAAATGCATTTACCGTCTCTTGGACTTGTGGACAGTCCTGGTGTGGTGGAACAGACGATTTGCCTGGAGGCCTTGCGAAGACGGCCGTGGATGCGCACGTCGGATCGAAAACAAGTGGAAGCGTGAAAGTTGGGACCACTGAGTCGTCGCCTTTTGGGCCTCCAGACAATGGTGAATTCGCGAGAGACGCTTCGCTTTGTTCAGCTGGCGCAAAAGGGGCGGGAATCTGTGCCACGGTCCGCAACGGTTGACGTGGAATATCCCCGCCATCCCCTCTAACTGCAATTAACTCAGGGTCCTTGTGAATTTTCAGACCTAAAATAGAAACGCCCAAATTGTCTCTGCTGGAGCGACCAGAAGCCCTCCAAACCTTTTCTTAAAAATGGTTAATCCCATCGAAATCTGTGGTAGTGGGATTTACCAAGGGTGCATGTGCGTACACCTGATAACAACGATTTCGGTATCACTGGAGCCTGTTTAACGCACTAGACGTAAATAGATTAGGAGGTTCGGACTTCCGCAGGCATAATCGGCACGGAACAAATTGCAGACACTCTTCGATATTAGAGCTCTGAAAAAACTTAGGAGAAAAGCCGTACCGTCAAGATTAGTGCCAAGCTGAAACCCGGAGGATTGTGAAAAAGGGGATTCATCTCGCGTTTTGAACCCGTAGCTCTTGCTGTCGTTTAGCCTACTCTGCAACTTGATATATCATTAAACGAGTGACAAAGTTCTTTGGCGCCCCATCTACCAAGTTCAAGGTATTTGCATAAATAGAATAAAAAGACCCAACGGAACAACGGAACTAACCCTTTGGTTTCTCAGGCTGAACAAAAACAGGCGCAGAGGGCTCGTCCCGGAGAATTTGAAGGCCGCCTACAGGATGCAACACAACTGGGTGAAAATCTAATCTGAAATCCAAACGGACGGTTAGTCGGTCGCCACAAGTGATATTGGCACTAATTGACGAAGCGTTCTATTTAAAGTAGTTGAGAGGATTTATAGCAATAATTGAGCACAAAAAACGGGACTTGAAATATTTTTTTCATTTATAAACGCTGTGGAACCTGAATAATCGATTTTACAGACGGGAATTTACACACTGTGACACCACCGCAACGTAAAAATTAGCCAAAAGGCTTCGACGGTGAAAAATCTAACAAGCATGAGAAACACGTTGCATTGTATTGAAGCAGTCCTACTCTTAAATACTCGTTTTGCATTGACGGAAGGTAAATAGCAGCAATTACTGGGTTTAACAATACTATGCCTTACTGTCGGTTCCTTAAGCGCAGAATCACGATGATGAGAAGATTTAAAATGACTACTATGTTATTTTTATGGTTGTCGTAAGGCAATAACTCCGAACCAAACAAACAATGGCGCTACGGGCGGGTGGACGCAGTGATTCTCAACGAAGGAGCAGTAAAATACCACATTCAAGTTAAAACCGACGGTTTTGGGAATGACGCAGTGAATGACACCACTAAGGTGTCAAAGTGCAGCCAGCACGAAATGGTGGGTGTCAGTTTGAGAACGGCTTCACGTAGTGAGCACAGCCACTGCACTACGCCGCGCGACTGCCCACCTTTGCAGATCGGAGGTGCTTCCTCGGGGGCGTCTTTATGGATGTGGAGGGGAGCCTGCGGCCTGGGCAAAGGCGGCGAGTCCTTGACCTCAGTACTCATTGATCCCATACTGACGCTAAGCTGCTGTTCACTCTCGCCCTCGAAGAACATCTGCCTGATCTGATCCATCTTCTGACGCACGTTTAACGTCAACGTTGGTGTAGGCTAAAGAGGACACATAAATCTACAGTAAAGTCAGAAACTCACGCTAAATACAAACAATTATTTGGGAAATAAAGGTACAAGAAAACAGGAATGTGGAGGGAATAGATAGCCAATATGATTAACAAAATACGAATGATTCAAGAACTTATTTGCCGTAACTTTTCCCTGGGTTGCCTTAAACTAAAAGTCTCAAGGGAGTTTTTAACACCAAATTGAAGTACAATTCTGTGATTATGATGAGAAACCAGTACGACGGTTATTAAATCAGAACAAATTTAATAGGTTGATTAAAATGACCAATATTGGTTCCAGATGTTCGCATATAGGAAGCTGTCGACAGATGATTTCGATTTTCAAGAACGTAAAGTGGTCCCCTGTCGGCAGTTATCATGACTCAAATAACGACTAAAGACCCCTTCAAACACCAAAAGATTACTTGGCCAATGTCAAGAAGACATCATGTAAATCTAGTGCTTAAGGTGGACGTAGTGGTAATTCGCCATCACTTAGGCTTGGTCAAGACAATAAGTAAATTCGCATGCTGGTTAGCTCCAATATTCACCTCTACGCCAGTGCACTTCGAGACCAAATACCTATTTATAGTTTAGCACGGAAGTTCAAAGCGGCGGTCATCCTTCGGACTCCACTGGGCATTCCCGACTAAGTCACAAAGTCCTAGTCAGAAGGCATTATTAGTATGCAAAGTTAAATGAAATTTAAAGCAACAGATCTTTTCGAACAAACCACAACGTCACGCGCTGACTCAATAAACTAATTCTGTCAATGCCATAGTGACGACTTCTTTCACTATTAAAACTACGCTGAAGGTTAACATGAGAACAAAAATGTCTAACAAAGCAGTGGCGCAAACCTTATACAACCCAGTTGCCAACAGCAGGGTGATATTTCCAATGGTTATTTCGCTTGTAATCTGGTTGTGCATAAATTGCGTCGATGTAGTCAAGATTTGTTACAAAAGGTGGGTCAAAGACGGACAGGGTTAGGGAAGTGTACAGCGAATGATTTATTTTGTGAAATTGGGTGCAGATCATTAAACTACTTGTCTTTAACAAACTACCCCTGCGAACTAAGGTTGAAGATTTGATTTTTTAAAAATGACCGGTTGCAATCCAGAAATTTATGGTAAGGTCCTGTACTTTCGTGACAATTAAAAGAAGGAGAAAAAAAACAGAGCAAGGAATATGGCACAATTGACGTTTCCATGTGATTCACTATGCATACAAAATGAGGTAATCGAGTAAAGATTGGCCCTTGACTGGGGACAAGTGTAGAGTCACATTTTGATGACAAATGTGGAGTACTACATTCATATGGTACATTAGCACTGATGTACCTGCGCATAGTTCAGCGAAGCATAGTAAAGCCCATAATATTAAGTGGACGCCACTGCAGGTAACCATTTTTAAGCCGTTAGAGATCAAATATAACAAAGTGTGAAAGATGATGCCTGGAATAATCGAACTTATACTAGAAATATCCGCATTTTGCACAGAGCAGGAACGGTGATGAGATCCTGCGACACACTTTCTGAAATACGCGAAGATTAACCGGAACAAACGGCTTTAAAACGGACATTTCATTAAGATTAATAAAAAAAGTGCTTCAGATCATGAATAGTGCATCGAAAGTTGCAACCACAGGACCAATAAGCTAAGGACTAAATTTACCGATAAATATAGCACAAAGATATATAACGAAGAAGACAGGAGTCCTGAGAAGGTGCTTGTTTACTGTGCAGAATGTACGCATGACAATATCTCACCCCATTGTCAATTTGGACTTTTCCCTCAGCGCAGGAAAGGATTGTGTTTATCCCGGGTACAGGATTGTAATACGTTGTCATAGTTTCATCACAGACGGTGTGCATGGTCACTTCAGATACTTCAGGCTCCGGAATCGTAGGAGTTGAGGTCATCGCACACGACTGAAGTTGACTAAGTGCAGGTATTAATGGTTAAAAACAAGGCCCGGTTAATCGAGAAAACAAAAATGTCATTTTGGCTAACGTAAACAATTTGTCGAGCAATAAAAACTATAAAGTAAAGAAAGATGATAAGATCTGGCACGAACTTCACTTTTGAACGCTATAAAGGAGCACAAAACACAAAATTAATGGCACCTTACCTAAGGAGACGCTTGTTCTCTTCTTGAATGGCAGCATTTTCCAATATCAAGGTCTAAGGGAGGCTCATTGTTACAGTGGAACTAAATATACCTGAACAGTTTTTTGTAGAGCTACATTTTGAAAAATTAACTCAGCAAAATCACTCTCTTTGCACCGCTCAGGCCACAAATGAGCAAAATCTTTAATAATGCATTCAAAATTCTCGAAATTGCTTACCCAACTTGGCCTTTTTCACAGCAAGTTCCATCTCGGGAAAGGAATCTTCTCCAAATCTCCAAAATAAATGCAAATTCGTTGGTACAGGCTGCTCAGGTGATTTGAATGTGTACATTTCTGCCTTACGCATTTCAAAACACATTTCCTGGCCATTTTTCAAAAGGAACTAAATTAGCGTCACCAAGATGCCTAATCCACACTTACCGATTCATCAAATGAAAAAACTGAGGGAATTGGTTCCATGTAGAATAACTTCGATCAGCAAATGCGATTTCTGCGTGGAGATGAAAAACGAAGACAACGGGTAATTTGCTAAGCTACAGATGATGAGTTAGAGTTAAGTTTTAGTGTACCAAAACGGGCAGGGAAGAATGGTTGACTCCGAAGAACAGGAGTGGCAGTGTTTATTACAACTGAAGGAAATTAAGGATATGTAGCAGAGGATTCAACTAGAAATCCAAGATAGGTTTTTGACGAAATGGGTTGCCAAGTTATTATGGTAACTAACAGAAATGCAAAAAAATTTGCTTGCAGACGGCCAAGTTCCAAAAAAGAGGATGGAGTGCCACGGATCAATTTACGGCAAAATGTGATCACGAGTAGAAATTGGGGAAAATTGACATAAATTTGACGAGTTAGAAATAACACCACAAAGAATTCCATCAGAAGTCCTCGCGACACGAAACGCAATTCAATTTGATTCCAAATACTATACTTTCTCAATCCAAGGCCAAAAATATAAATAAAAAGGTGATTAATAACGGCTTTTTGAGCAGCTGGAAATAACAACACTTTTTGTCATCTTAAAATAATAAGCTAAAAAGGACAAGCTAAATGCATAAAGACACACATTTAAAACAATATGCAAAATCAAACTATTTTGAGTAGCACTTGCCATAGAAAATGACCTCGCTTATTAGACCGACGAAAACTTACGAGCTCAGGGCTTTTGAAAGTGCTTGCTTATTTCGATGCAGTAAAACAGAAAAATGATTTTGCCTTTTTCTGGTACCTGATAGAGAGTAATAGTTTCTGCAATCATTGATTAGCTTTTAGTTAATTAAAAAGAGCAAGCACTTTTAAAATCCTTGAGCTTGTTAGTTTTCGTCTGTCCGAGAAACGAGGACTTTCAATGTCAATTGCTACTAAAAATTATTTGATTTTGCACTTGATTTTGAATATGTGGCTTCATGCATTTGGCTAGCCTTTTTTGATTAAAATTCATAACTGCGTTATTTAATTAAAAACTGCTAGATTAATGCAGAACTTGCACATTAGGTTTTCGTTTAAATAATACAAAGTTGCCAAATTCTCACTATCTAATATCGCTCATAACCCATTTACAGCCATTCAAAAATCAGTCATGAATGGCAATTGTGCCACTATTGTTAATGGAGCAAGACAAGACCTTATTAATATTTTGCTTCCTTCCGCAGGAATTCAGGCCATCAACGTACAGCTTTAGGAAACCGGGTGGCTAACGTCAACTGGCTCAGGAAATTTGACAAGTTTTCACCTTCACGATGCACGTGCATTAATATGCTTATGATTTGAAGAGATTAGTATACTTCCTAAGCAACTTAAAAGACAATGAATTTTGCGTGCATAGGTTTTCAAATTCAAGGTGATAAAAGCCCTGACCACCACCGCATACCTGCAATTTATTCACATTAGATTTAGGCATGTTAAAACAATACTAAAGCACACTTTCGTCTGTCTCGACTTGGTCATGGTGCACTTGTAATGCTCTCCCTAGCTCTGACATTCGAATTCGTGACAAATTTACCTGCCTCATCTTGTCTACGTATCTCATACGATTCACCGCATTATACATTTTTGATACTTTAATCGATGAAAAGGTTCTCATCACCAGCGTCAGCCTGCCGCAGCCATCTCCTTGCATCGACTAATGAGCAATCATTTTGTAGTTAAGATCGATCGCCAATTTATACTCTTGGTAGACCTTCCATTTATTCTGCTTAAAATGTTATCATTTAATTTTGCTAAGAGTAGTTGCTGTGAATCTTGCTAGTTCTAATCCACCAATAGTTTTAATACATGAGGAAACACAATTAATTAGTTCTCTATGCCTAATCTCCTGTGATTATACATGGACCTGTGTAAATACACGATCCAGATTCCCGCAGGCTCTCTTAGTAATCACATTAATAATACTGGATATCGGTTTTGTAAGCCCACGGCAAATATTAAATGCGATAAATGAAAATTATTCTCAAATTAAATGTCTTCTGTAGCATTTTTATTAAGATACCTGAGTATTTTATCGGAGTTGAACATGTATTCAAATTACACAGCCAATCCCTTTACAACCTCTGTGAGTATCATTGAGCTTAATTGTGCATGAACTGTGATGCTAGTCACAAACAAACTTTTAATATCGCTGCCAACTCCCTTACTAAGCGTAGGAGGTTGAGGCATTCAAATCGGGCCCTCAAGGCCGAGGTCTTGTTGTGCGCCGATTGAATAGGTGGACTTTCATTTACCTCCGAGCAACTAAAGGATCAGTAGTGAGCTTGTAAGTTGAAAAAAAAACGCATTTTTTGGCATAGTTGATCTTTAGACCGGACCTAGACGCCCCCCTCACACATTTTGATGCAGACAGTATCGAATCCCCAGCGGAATGAGGATGGAAATTCGAGAGTAGCTAATGTCAGGGTTGCTCCCAAATTTACGCCTTGTTGTCGATTTGGTCAGTAGCAACCTATTTTTTTAGACTATATGTCACCTCACTTCAGTTTCCTCAGACAAGTCTACAGAAAAGAAAATTCACAAAAGATAGGGAATAGGGAATAGGGAAATGAAACGTGCCTTGGGAATTAATACTTTCCAAGATGCTATCGAGTTAATTTTTAACGAGAGGCTTTATAATTTTATAGAGTTAGTATATTCCATCTTGGGCAAAAGTTAGCCAGCTTGGACTAGTAACAGCCTTTTTTCTCAATAACTATTGAGAAAACGCACGACATGAATTTACAACAATTTCCGACTACAAGTTTTCTTGAATTAACCACCCAAGACACTCATTGTGGGCCTAGATTTCTTAACTATGCTTTAAGATTCACATCATTCTTTTCTCATTGTCTAGGACACACACTCACCATATGCCAATTCTTGTCACTGATAATAAAACAAACGAGGTGGAATTACGACAACAGTACACATATCCTAGTTTTTAACTGGATTAACGGCAAAGTCTCCAATGTTTTACGAAAATTGCCTCCGATAGATTAACAGACAACATTCCGTTTATCTTACTGACCAGTTCAAAAGCTAAACGTTCATAAATTTCATTCCACCTTCTTGCGTTTACTCTGCTGTGCGTTAAGTAACCGGTCGTTTCGTCTGGCTTACCATTATTAAAACTGTCTACCTTTAGGTTAATGTATGTCTCAAGTGCTGGTGCAAGGTATATCCCTCTAAGTTTCTACTTCCAGACACACGCTCCCAAAATGGACAAATTGACTTTTTTAGTCCTTCTTCGCCTTCTCGGGGATTTTTCTGTTTTCTCAGCTGTTTACACAATTTTACATGTTCGCTGATTGCAGCCCTTCATAAAGGCGATATAACAAAAAGGTTTTCATATGATTGTACTGATTAATTGGCATCCTTATTTAATGTTAGTAGTTCTACCACCTTAGATCACGGTGCTCAATTCACATCGTGCGAATTACCCAATCTAAAACGTACAAGTGATATTCCGATGGTAGAACTTGATTTCGGAACATCCATGCGTCTGGTGTTAGGATATGCAACCATTCCTGCACCATTGACAAACTTCCAATTTCATCTATTGAAAAATTTCGTAGAGGAAAATTGGCTTTTACTCGTCATCGTATCTTTGCACCAGCAGCCAACTTTTGCCAAATTCACCCAAATTCTTACGTCCTTGTCCGTGTCATTAGTGTTCCAAGTTTTTGTTATGCCCACATTATGACTCTCTTTAACGCTATTCAACGAGTGGACAGGTAGTATGCCACAAACAGGAGAGGATCACAAACTATCATGAGCATATACTCATAATAAAAATGTGCCTTCTCAGACAACAGCAATGTTCTTTCCCCTTCCTCAAGCCAAAAATGACCTAGCCTTGCAAATGCCTTCTACAATTTCACTTTCCCATAAATCATGTTTAAGATTACACCTTAACCTGCTGTCCAATTAGTGAACGCTGATCGTTTTTCATAAACTTTTTTGTCATACTGTTATGGTCTTAGAAAATTTTTGAGTGCTACCGACTACTTTTAAGCGAACCACTTTTAAATTCATCGATTTGCATTCTGTTCAACGTGAAGATTCTTGTTCATGGATCTTTCCTTATTTGGCTGATATTTACACTCGACACCAGCATATGCACATTTGCAGTCCAAATTTAAAAGAAAATTGACTTTCTGGAATAGTTGTGATAAAATTCATGCCATTTTAGGTACTGGAGTTTTTTACAGCCGGCTTATATGATTGGAAATAGACAACTTTTTTATTCGGCTGATTCTCTAATGTGTGTTCAATTTCACACACTTAGCTTCTCTGACCCTCTGCTGTTTAAGTTTATCACACGGCTAGAAGTTCCGAATTCTACACAAATTTCGATTTCTAACAGAGCTACCCTGTTTTCAACCAATTTAAAGGAACCATAATAAATACCATTTGACGTTCATCATTCAGTGAACCTGTATGAAACAACTGAGTTAACTACTATGTGAAACCGATGACTTGCGAATAAAAAGTGTTTCTAAAACAACATGAATTTCTAAAGTCTTCTGTTCACTTGAAAATAACAGTGTACGGTTATTGAAATTGCATAGCAAGCTGCTGTTCCGTTAGATTTACACCGTACGTTTTCAAGCGAGTGATTAATAGTCATGATAAAGGATTGTCCAGACCTGAATGTAAATACCATTCACTTCAAATACTACCAGCCTACACTTAATTAATTTTTACATGTGCCTCTTACTTATTTAAATACCAAACAAGTGTTCTGCAAGCGTGACATCAAAATCTATAATTATGTTTTGTCTGATCAATCCCGTTACCTTAATTATTCTCCGTACGCCAAACTTAAAACTATTTACTAAATTTCGTACCTTTTCTTATTTGCCTAAAATATCTTTAACAAGTGATTCGAATTCGAGTTAATCCACATTCATTTTAAATCCATGTTAGACTATAACGTCTAACACTAGACTATATCATTGTCTAGAAGACACCATATCGATCACGAAAAATATGAAACAAACCATAAACATTCATCCAAGATTGGCGTGTTAAAAGCTATAAGACAGAAGCTCGAGCGATGTATGCCAGGGTCGATATGTGCTAGGAAAATGATTTAAAGTAATAAGGGACTTGGAAAATACAATTTTAAATTGTGAGAATCAGCTATCGCTCCTTCTCCAGTAGGCTTTTCCTGTAGCAGTTCCAAGAAAATTGTAAACTGCACTTTTTTAACATTTGAACTCAAACTTAATCGGGTGCAAGCAATTTATTTTGGATATTTTGGTCAAAGTAACTTTGATGAAGGTTTGTTTTGTGCTTCTAAATATCATTTAGTCCACGATAATAAAAATGATTAAATCAGGGATAATTTCTTTACGCTGTGGATTGTTTACTGGAGATTTACATCTTCATATGTCTTTCAGCGAGTGCCTTTGTAAAATGAGATGCATATTATGGATGACTTGATCAGAATGGTGGTGCGATTCCGGTTTTGGTTTTTGTTCCTCTCGAAAATTCCCACCGTTTCTACCAATCACACAAAGGCACATAATATTACAAAATATCATTTTTGCGAAGTTCATTCAATGTATAACTTTTGTGACAACTTGCTCTTGCTGGGGACACTCACAATTTTTATTTTGGAAGTAAAAACGAAACATCTAATATGAGCTAACTTCAGTGCTTTTAATAATTCCTTTTAAAGATATGGGTTGAATTAAACAACTATGGCTTCCCCACTTTCAGTTAAATTGCCTTGAAAGCATACCAACTTTATTGGAAACTTTTTCTTCAGTACAAAGCATTTTTGTAACAACGCTAATAAAATTTCCAGTACTTAGTCTCTTGCACCACTTTCTTGTTTCCAACTCCTCTCATGTTTGTGTTGTGCTGCATCCCAAAGCCTCAAATGTATCTTGAAAAATAACCAACATAAATTTTTTTCTGCCAGCATTTGGACAGTTCCAGTGGTTTAAATGTAATGTGGAATTTCATGTTCATTATCTGTTTCGCCAAGTCAAGGCAGTGTGGTAATTCATTAATGCTGTAATTTGTGTCTTTTTTGACCTCTCTCTCTCTCATCTTCCCCAAATTCATACAGAAAAATATGATCATCAGCCCGTACGTGTCTGTGACCTACTAGTATACACAATCCTGCATAAACATGGATTCGGCACAGTTTTCAATTTGCCTACTAAACGTTTGTGTCGCCACGTAATGCAAACTGGACCTCAACGAGGGGAGGATCAATACCGGTTGTCCCATCAACTAGTGACTCTGACGGGAGCACTTGGCTAGCCCCATACCACAGCAATAGGATTACCAATGTAAATACAAATTCAATGTCGCGTTATGCATAGTTCAATGAACGCTCAACAACACTTGTTCTTCTTTCTTACTTATAAATTATAGGAAGATCGTATTTGGATTCTCTGTTGCTTGAGTTTTCGACTTTGGACACTGATGCGCTATTTTGAACTTATGCGCACTCTTATCCTACAGTAAAAGACAGTTAATTTTTAGCCAATCAGTAATTTGGTGTCTGCAAGAATAGAAGAATAACCGTGCAAATGAAATGGTCATTAAAATGAGATGGTCAGGTGATAAGAGAGCCACGTGACTTCAGTATCAGATCAATCGCGCCTTGCATTGTCGCAAAAGCGTGGAAACAAAGGGCACACGGACGGGTCAAATGGAGGTTTCCAGAAGCCGGACGCCCAAGCCGAATGGTGATAACTTTCCAAAAAAAAGTCAATCTCTCCCAAGACCGTGCAAACCAAATTGTCCACAAAAAAGGCATAGACGTCCGTGCAACTCCCTACAGCGCTCCTACGATGCTAACACCAGGAGCCCCACTCCACTGCGCGCTTCAAGCTCTGCCGGGTGCAGGTCCCCAGTCGGATTCCACAGAAAAGACTCGAATTACCAAATTGAAGGTAGAAACCAAAGTTCTGCTGGTGAACTTATGAAAGGGAAAACTGGTCGGTTAAAAACCTGTGAGTCGGGGAATTTAAAAAAGGAGTCAGGAGAATGCAGCGTCAGTTACTTTGTTTATGTGTTTCTCCATCAGGATGAAGTAAGTTTGTCGTATTGTGTTTTCGCTTAAACTGGTAAAATGTAGGATTTACCCTCTTACTTTGAGCACTGAACAAAATAGAGAACGTTAGAGTGATTGCACGTATGGCTTGCATTAGGTTGCAAAACTGTAGTTCCTACACAGCATAACACTATTTCTGCGTTTCAGCCTTGGAATGGACTGCTAAATACCATATTTTATAATTTTAAAACGGTGAATTAACATGTAGACAATAGTTAACCGAAATATTTTTGGGAACGAACATGGTTGTCTAGTTTTGATCTTTGAGTTATTAAGTTGAAGCAGCTGCAATGGATCAGGATATTTCGTTTTCTGACTCAGATTTCACATCAAAATATGTCATGTATGTAACTTTATGAAGGACGATAAGCTGCGATTCTGGTGTGCGTGATTAAACCACGAAAATACCCAGTGATATGATTTTTTTCTGCCAACTAATTCCCATGATGACTAGAAGCTATAGCCGTAGAGCCGCCATCAAGAACAAAGCATTAGTGCCACAGCAACGGCCAATTTTATCGGATGTGAACTGAGAAATTATAACCATCATCCATTAGTAGAATGGTCGTAAAACAAAGAACCTTGATAAACTAGACCAACACCAGTTGTGAATTAGGAGCGCATCTGAGATAAATACCTTGTGGACATTCCATGTGGCACCACTCACAATCGAATGCACCTATTTATTCTTGAATGATAGGCAAACCTATTTTTAGTCCCCTAGATATTCTTTTTGGACATTTTTCTTCGGATTAAATAAGATTTCTTTGACACGTTTCCAAATTACGAGGAAAACATTTATTTGAACAATGAGATTAAGGGATTTTCATTATATGCGTTTAATGTAAGGCTCTCTAAAACGTATCCGCATTCGATTTCTTTCTTTGATGCTGCCTTTCTTTGAAGATAGACAAGGAAATTTTCCCGTTCGAGAGTCGGCGCTGCGTAAGAGAAATTTTGGAGGAGTCTAGTGACGACGATAGGCGCAAACGAATAGCCAAAGCAGCCCTAAAAGACCGGCGTCTAATTAAGGTGGAACTGTCGACCGGTTGCAAAATCGAGCTCGGAGGGCTCACTGGCGCTGAGAACTGCTTTAGGGGGTTGCCGCGCCGCCGCCTCAACATAACTGGCCCCTCGTACGTCAAAATTGTGCACGCCTTGACTATGCTCGAAGAATTCTTCCCTCGACTCATGCGCGACATCATCTGCCCGTACCCCCTGCCCGCGGGGACAACAACCAAATACGAGACCGTAAATAGGATGGCTAGCACAGCTTACTACCACATTAACCACCAGATCGGCGGCACTGGGTTGCGAGGCCAACTAAACGACCGACCATTCTTGACATGCAAACAACTGCGAGAGACCCTCCAAGGTGATTGAGTTCGTAGCAGCTTTACGTGGATTCTGGTCAACCGTCTGTGAATTGAATGCAAGTGCAAAACTTTTCCCAAAACAGGACGCGTTCGTCTTAGTTGTTGTTGAGGCGTGTTGCTACTTGTGCCGCCAGGAAATAAATTTTTTTTCGGCTTCCTCCAGGGTAAACTATGAAGTTACTTGCATTGTTAATGGTAGTTTTTGTGCATTGGCGTCACCTATGCTCCAACATGAATAGTTTCGAAACATGTGAATAGTTGTACTTCAGTACACATGCATATACCTTTCGATTCTTATAACGCCTAGACTTCTGGTTTCATTGGTCTCAATGGCGATTAGGCTCTTTAGATGCTTCAAATACTCTTTATGCAATTTGTAGTCAGGTTTGAATTTCTGCGGAAAAGGCTTTGAAATCGGCTAGGATACAGGTTACATTGCTGCTAACAGGCACGAAGTCTTCGGTGCTTTGTCACTTGCCCTATTATCAACCGTGTTTTAGTTTGAATGACGCGGTGTCATCTTGTAAAACCGGCCTGCTACACATTTAACACAATGAGGTTTCCTAAATTAATGTCGCCAGGGCACATTGAGTGCGTTTCCGAATACATGCATCATGAGGCCAACTCAAGCCTTATGAGATTAATTTTGCACAGATAATTAATCAATGAATGCGCCTTCGGAGATTTACCACTTTCTACTTCATCCCGATCTAAGTTGGAAACTCTAACCTAGTCAAACCTTCATATCAGCTAAAGACACCACCATGGGTGACAATAATTTAGACTCAGTGAGTATCAATGTATATCGTGTTACCCGAGTTGGATTATTGGTTGTACAGTGAAGTATAATCTCGGATTTTTTTCCTTGTACTCAAGTTCTGAACAAGCCTTGTACTGAAAATGCCGAAAAAATGGGGCATTCTGCCCTTCAGTTAGTCCACATTTTTCGAGGCAAAGTAGCCAGTCGAAATTGGAAGGTGCGAATGAATGCAGCTAAGTACGTGCATTTTCCCTCACCTTCTGTACACCAGGTACCTCTTGCCATGGCAACAATAAACTGATACAGTTATGTGGCATTGTTGTGTCGATGCCGTCCTAATTTCCTGTTCTGTTTGCTCCCACCCCTTCCAAAACTTTTTGATACATCCTCGTTCCAACGCTTAATGAGGAGTTGTTTAAAAAAAGAGAAATTTTGCGAGCTGTAGAGGATTATATTTATATGTTAATAATGTAGGAAACGTGTGGTACTTAGAATTGTTTTAATATCAAGTATTACATCATTAAAAAAAACTAGGAAATTCAACCAAACTTGTCTACATTCAATGACACAACTCGTTATAAACTTAAATAGCGCTTTAATATCCTAACTCCTTAAGAAAACAAAATACCACATAACATACTTAATTTACAACCTTCGTAGTGGAGATGTTAATTTTGTTGCAAAGTGTTTTTCACTTAGGAACCGGGGTATAAAGCCTTTGTTCCTTTAAAACAAAACTTATTTTTTGAAAAAAAAAATTCAATTTGATTTCGCCTTGGCTTCATTTATAGGCATTGCAATGGAATTTATGTGGGTGTGGCCAAGACCGTTTAAAAGAGACTAAAAGTAGTTTAAATCTTCGTCTTGCATCGAGCTTATCTGAATTTTTGATAAATTATAGAATTCCTTATGTGAAAGAGAAATTAAATCACGAGAAGATATTTTTTAAAATTTAAGTAGTAAATTTAATACGAGTAACAAGTAAGATTTTGGAGGCCCGTACTCGAGGGTTATGCCTTGTTTTGTAATGATACATATTAATATTACAACTGTCCATTAACTACAAATTTTTAGTGAAACGCTGGTCAAAACTCAAATCTCTTTCATACTGTTACATTTCAAGTGGTTTTAAAAAAAGTACGCAGCTTTGGTGGGCAATAAATGTGCAATCCAGGTGATTTATCTACAACCCTTTTCCTCGCAATGTGTACTTTTTGCCTAATTTCCGTTTTTACTATCGACGAAAGCCAAATTTGGCAAGTACATCTAGGGGAATACCTTTTAATTGAAAGCAATGAGGTTGGTGCCTGAAACAAAAATCCCCAGGATGTGAGGGTCTTCTTTTTCGAAATAAATCTAGACTCTTTGTTGTCAAAAAACGCTAATTAAGGTTAAAAATGTTTGAAGTGTGGTTTTTGGTGGTCTTAACGAAAATAATCGCCACAAAATGATAAAAAAGATTTTAATAATAATAATAGTAATAAGCATAGAAGTATCAGCAACACAGGAGAAAATTATTAAACTACTGATTGAAATAAAATGTTGACTCATTTGCATTACTGGTAAGTTTTGCTTATATCAGCCGACATGATCAAAAATGTTTAATCACCAGTGGCCAAGTCAACAAAATTAGTGCCACTGCAAGACTATTTCAAAAACTAGCTGTAAATACATGGATCACCACCTAGCCAAAGCCACATTAATACTTTCGACGCGTCACTAGGCGTGTTGTGTGCACTGGACTGCTGTTTGATATTTTTAAACTCCTTGATGTACTTGAAAGGGTCTGGGTAGTAAGCTCTACTAAAGCAGACATGCAACGACCAACCTTAGGGTTAACTTGGGGCAGTCTATATTTGGTGCATTTAATAACGCACATTTACTCATTTTACATCAATGCTGGGACGTTCTGGTTTCTGTTGAAAAAAAAATGTTTAAGAAAACGGCATCAGTTTGCCAATCCGTGGTGATTTATGCATATGGGTCACATAACGGACACTGCCTGCTGGTCAAATGATCAATATACGCGGGGTGTCGACATTTAAAAAGAAATTTCGTCGAAACCCTGATAACACCCAACTCATTTTAAAATCAAGTTTAAAGGGGAGGAATGGAATCATGAAGAGCCCATTAATTTGGCATTTATTTCGGCGATAATGATCTGACTGAATTGTGCAACACGGCTCCACGCTCTTTTCATACTTGTGCAAATATCACAATGATTTATGTCAAATGAGGGAATGGCTACAACTGGCGAGAGAATTTCGTCAAGCCTTGTTTTTGGCGCCAGCCGCAAACATATAAGGACGATTGCATGGTTTGGTAGTGTTTTTTAGGTAGCGTTTTTACCTCTGAACACCTCTTTTCTGCAGTGTGCTTGCATAAAAGACGTGAAAGGTTCGTATTACATTTTTATCAACGTTTCACGAAATTATTTTTAATTTTTCCCACGCCTTTTAGCAGTCCACTTAATATTTTTCTTGAATTAATGTAGGCGTACTGATGCAGAGTAGATCTCTAGCACTTGAACATTCCTTCGGGCACCAAAAGCATATTCAAAGCGAAATCTTTCTTTAATCGGTCAAAAACATTACCTCTCTGTGCCAAAAGTTGGTGCGACAAACTTATTTGAACAGATTTTGGAAGAATCACCATGTTTATTTAATTTGGATGTATTTGAAATCTAAGGAAATCAGGGTTTTCTTTTAGGGGTCTCAGAAAACAAATTCCTCACATCTAGCAGACGCACTTCACGCATTATAGCTTCACTTCCTCAATTATGCAGAGGAAAATTCTGGGGCTTATTATTTTAACACCATTATTTGGCATTTTTGCAGGCACTTGCTGCTGTAAAACTGTGACTTGGTTTACATGCCTACTTCTCGTCCTATAACTTCAATGATGCAAAGTTATTGCTGTATAAATTTGCGATCAAGGTAAATAACAAAGTGGTTTCTTTAAAATTACTTTCGCTTATTTGACTTGAATTTTTGGAAAACATGATGTGATCAAAGGAAATCAAACCAGCAACCTACATGTAATGGTTTTGCACTTTTATTTTCTGCTCTCTTAATGTCGCTTGTCAGATTAGGCAATGTTTCCACATGCCAGCTTTACGTGTCAGGGTTTTTTAGTACGATAATCTCCTGTGTCAAAAATTTAGATTGCAAAAAGCGAGAAATGTTATGACAAATATACACGAAGGTGTAGCGTTTAAATAAGTTTCTTCAGATGGAGGAGTGAAGGTAAGTTCTGACGCGAGTCAAAGTTTCAGGCAATGGTTAATTATGCGCCTGTGGTTAAAAGCAACTCCTTAAATGCCACCCACCCGTCCACCTCTATAAACGCCTACAGGCGACGTCTTTTATCCTTGAAAGCAGTGTTCGTTCCTTCTTGGTGAATGTTGAGGTAAAAGCGTGCAGCCGCCTAAGCTGCTTAGGCATTGTTTAAAAAAGCACTAGAAAGGAGAATTCACACAACATGCTTTGTCAGAATGTAAGTAATTTCCCATTTATAGTGTTTTTACTCGATTTTTTGCACTTATAAGCTTTGGCATTTAGGACTTATTGACTGAGATTAAAGTGCACAATCTGCAAATCGGTTGTAACCTAGTTTCGGTCATGTTTTTACTTTGAACTTTGCGGATCAAGTAAAAGCTTTTCACAGTCCATAACCAACCAGAATCTTACATTCAAAACCAAATAATTAGCTAAATTTCCCTTTTCTACAGGACCACTTGAATGAGCTGACACATTTTTTTCCATATTTGTGTCCTCGGGTATGGTAATGTACACTAGTTTACATCACACCTTGACATGACTCTTCAGTCTTGGGAGGTAAAAACATTTCCCAAGAAATGTCTAAATTTCTTATAGATTCTCAAGCATTGTGATGCAATTCAGTTCCTACAGTGGACATTTCTCGTCCACGTGGTTTACCCAATCATCGCTAACCACTCCAAATAGCACTCCTGTATAAGGCGTTGTAAGGATTTGATTGCTTGGTTGCCCATAATTCAGATCGTCCGCAAATGTTAAGGTCAACTTTCACGTCATCAGTGTGATTTGTTTTCGGAATAAAAGACGTGAGCTATTAAATGTAATCACACAGATTGTGATATGACAGATGTTTATGAAAGCCAAATTCTCTGCCACGGTTTGCTCCACTTACACAAACTTCTTTCTGCCTTGACATTTTTTTTAAACTGTATGCATAAAAAAGCTCAAAAATGTTTAGAAAGACACTTT